GTATGGGGAGGTTTAACGTGCAATACATTTCTTCTAGGTGGTGCTCTCTGAGAAAAACTTTAACTTTGAAGGTTTAGGCAACCCCTGGGTAGAATGGCGGACCGAGAATGTGGTGCTGAGGCAGCAAAATAAACGTTGGTTTTGGGGTGAGTCACTCCTTAAAGTGACAATGTGTATTTTCCCAGGTGATAAGAGGCAGTGCATACCTAAATCCTGGCAAGCAAGCAGCATTTTTGTGTTAGAGTAACGCCTGATTCATGCTTCTCCGTCAGCTCCGCAAGGGACAGACACGCACGGATTGACGGAAGCGTTTTGCTCTCATACTTCTCTGTCTCCTGGGGAGTGTTGCAAAGCAATTCCCCGGCAGGACAACAGAGGGCGTAGCGCTGTTCTGTGGTATCCTGTCATGTATCGGTCCAAGATAGTGTGTTTATATTGTGTTTTTTTGTATACAAGAGACTTTTTAACACAGACAAATTTGTCTCTCATCCTCCTCCACCTCTTCATGCACTCGCCACCTCTGAACCCACGTTTCCTGTCATTTCCGTCCACAATAAAACGCTTGAGGCGCATCTTTTCACTCCTCCAGTCACGGGGGAATTAAACGTTCATATTTTAGAGTTTTTTTCGCGAGGTATTCTTCAAGCTTCTCCGTGTTTGCTGCTAGATATCCTCGGCTCTCTTTATGTTTTTGAGGGCGCAATGGCGGCGGAGTAGACAACAGCGGCGTCCTGACCAATCACAAGCTTGCGTTCTCCGTCTTGTTCGACGGATGTTTAAAAAAGTGGATTTGACTCCGTACGTACTTGCGTGCCTGCCGGGGCCCTACGCAAGGACGGATAATGACGTTGCGTGTCTCCACGCTGACGCAGAAGGAGAAGCATGAATCAGGCTTAAGACCTTACCAACGGATGGCTTTTAGGGTCAAAAATCCCTGGAACCGCAACTTCCAGGAAAATGAAAAGCACATCAGACTTCATCACTGGCAACAAGCTTAGAGGTGAATGTTTAAAACGTTTAATAATGGCAAAAGTTTTGCAACCGTTTAAATGTGTTTTGATCTCACGGGCTCCCGTAGAAGAAAACAATAGGTGCTTCAGGGTAGATTTACAGGAACTTCCCGAGTACCTGATCAGGGGTAGGTACTCTGAATGGCCCGGTAGAGTAGCTGAGTGGAACCTTTTTCACGCTGATTGGTTGTAACTCAGTAGGAAATGACATCATAGACGTTGTCCTGGACAAAATTAGAATGGAAGCAAAAGAAAGTAAGCATCGATCGCGCTTACAGTTTTTTACAGACGTTAGGACCCATTTCTCAATACTAATGTCACTTTTGCTAGACACCACACAGTTCTCCTAACTGAGTTTCAGTTTGGCAAAACAGTTTATTTCACATTCAAAGTGCACTACAACCACCAAAGCACTTCATTCAGGTCTCAAATAAACACTTTCCTCCAGAACACTAGCAAAGGTTGACAGCCGACAAACACACTTTGTCACCCACAAAACAAAGACCTAAAAAACACTACCAACATGTAGCATTACTTTTTCTTGTGTAAAACAAGGACACATCTCTGTTCATACTTCCAATAGATGTTACTGGAATGAATCAGACATGATGCAGAATTAGTCAATATTTCATGTTGTTCATTTATTTTTAATGTAGAGCGTTGCAGATTCGGCTGCACTCTCTGACCAGCCTCTCTCATTGAGAGACCATGATTTACTACATGATCAATTACAGTAGCTCTGATCTCATCTGAGACTCCAGCTCTTGATCTTCCTCTTATTCTTCTGCCACCACGCATACGTACTCCTCGCCCTCTCCCAGCCTCTATTCTGTGGCGCGGTATGGTGGCCAAAATTAAGATTACTGCCCAGCACCAGGAGGCTATAAAAATTCCGAAGCAAACTACTGATCTGATTAATGACAAGCTGGCGCCGGTAACTGAGAGGCTGGCGCTGCTTACTGAGGAATAGCACCTTTACCAGCATTATTACTAGATACGCTAGGGACTAGCAGCCCTCGGCTGGTCATTGACTGGTTCAAACACTCCCTTTGCTGTCTATTAGCATGGATAGGCTAGCATTAGCCTGGATGGGCTGGTGTTAGCATTGGAGAGGCTAGCCATTAGCATGCCTAGGCTGGCCACTAGCTGGATTTCCTACCTCCTCGGCGGACCATTAGCATGGATAGGCTAGCGTTAGCATGGATAGGCTGGCGTTAACATCGGAGAGGCTAGCCATTAGCGTGTCTCAGAGAGTCACTAGTCAGCTAGTGGCCAGCCTAGGCACGCTAATGGATAGCCTCTCCAATGCTAACACCAGCCCGTCCAGGCTAACGCTAGCCTATCCATGCTAATAGACAGCAAAGGGAGTGTGTGAACCAGTCAATGACCAGCCAGGGGCTGCTAGTCCCTAGCGTATCTAGTAGTAACGCCAGTAAAGGTGCTATTCCTCAGTAAGCAGCGCCAGCCTCTCAGTTACCGGCGCCAGCTTATCATTAATCAGGTCGGTAGTTTGCTTCAGAATTTATATAGCCTCCTGCTGCTGGGCAGTAGTCTTAATTTTGGCCCCCATACCGCGCCATACTGTTTCAGCCACTTCTCCATTTCTGGCTGGGTCCATGTTTACATCACAACACAAACCTATTCAGCAGTTGACTACTTTTATAATGACATTGAAAGTGTAACACCTGTGCAGCTGTTCATCTACAATTAGTCAGCTGTGGCTGGTGAAACTGCATTTATGTTTCAATAACATATTGCTGTTGGATTTTGCTGTCATATTCAGTTTTGCAGTATGTTATTGTTTTGAACATAAGTTTTACAGTTTTGTGAACAGTATGTAAGCAAGTGCAAAATGCAATGATTTTTGGCAGTTGTGTCTGAGTGAGAAGGGACTTCCATGACATTTGAGAGATGTAATCACTCAATGCATTTTTTGCCAAAGCAATGATAATTGATCCTCAGTTTGGCCCACATAGACTTCTGTTGTGCACACTGTATGTAGAGTTTTGAAAATGTGACCTAGGTATTGAGAAATGGGTCCTAACTTCTGTAAAAAACTGTAAATTCTAACTCCCGACACCGGAAAACACGGCAGAATCCCCCCACAGCTGTTACTAAACTCACGACACGGGAAACTGTCCCCACAACTTCATTAACGGGGCTTTGGTGTCTCACAGAGTGCCATAAAAACTGTCACGTCTTCTGCTCTCGTGCTCCGAATGGATTAAATCATGATAGAATAAATGCTTTTAATGTTATTAATGTTACTGTGGACGCTTCTTGGCGCTGATCAGTGACATCACTCACTGCAGAAGCAGTCGCAATATGCTGACGTCTGTGCAAAATCCTGAAAGGGCTGGATGTGAATGGAGACAACAGATGAGGGGACTGGGACATCGTATCTCCCGGTCAATTTCCCTCTCCCAGAAGTTACCCTGAAGTTCTGGTAATGGAAGCACAACTATTACAGGGTAACTGCAGGTTTAAGGGAGCCAAATTTAAGACTTTTTAAGACCTTTTTTAAGGCCACTTTGACCAAAGTTAAGCTAATTTTTTTAATTAAATTTCTGCTATAATTTCCAGCTATTGCCTGGAACCGGTGTTAACCACTTCGCGAACGTAGGATTAGCCATCCATTTACCATTAAACTTGCACTTCCCCATGGCGCAAGCTCCCACTAGCTTAACCAGCTAATGTGCTCATCTAAAAATAGCCCCCTTTCACAACCACAACTTTTTGCCAATATCATACACAAAAAATGCTCATCACTAACTAGAAATTCACAAAAATGTCATAGAAATGAAATAATATAGTTTATTGGGTCTTTGGTAATTTAAGACCTTTGGAAACTGTATTTAAGGATTATTTGTCATTTTTAAGGATTTTCAAGGCCTTAAATTTGGAAAATTTAAGATTTTTTAAGACTTTTCAAGGACCCGCGGATACCCTGTATTAATAGGCCGTCCCCCAGAGACTCAGGCCCACTCCCATGTATTTTAGACCTGATTGTTATGAAGCCCCCAATAAGTCTTAACAACTGGGCATCATTTAAACATTTCAATGGATATTTCCGGAGATTAATGGTAAAACCTACACATCGACTCTTTTTCCTCTATCTTTACACAAGTAATTTTATTTTATTTTACTCTATTACATTTTACATTGCACTTCCTACTCAACTACATTTTCTAGAGTTTCAAAATTTAAAGTACTTTAATTTGCATTTTGTCCAACCCCCACCCCACCCCTAGTCTGATGGGGACCAGCAGGAATTCCATTGTCTGGACAACACACACACAATGTATTTTTAATTGTCAGTTGAGTAGTTTTACTTCTCAGTATAATTGAAAATACTTTGTCTATTTTTTGGATACTTCATGTTTTACTTGAATTTACCCATTCATCTGTACTTTCACATAAGTAATCCCCCCATCTTATACCCGTAACACTATTTGTATTTTGCTCCATCGCTTCATACGTTTTTAAATAATCCAACTAAAACAATGATTTATTATATTCTGATAGCTGAAGAAAAGTGCCACTGAAGCATGTTTCAGATAAAAAATAAAAGAAACCTAACAGCTGCTATTTCCTCCAAATAATCAGTCAAATAATTCATTGATAAATTAAAGACAAGCACAACATGGGAGTTCTCGTTCCATGATTGCACTTCCTCAGAAATCACATCTACATAATTATTTCACTCTTTCTTACATTTCCATGAAATCTGGCCACACGCACACGACTTCAAAGAAAGCCATGAGGTCGATGCATGACTGAATGTTAGAATTGTTTCACGTTGTTATGCAAACAGTCTCTGGATTTGTTTAGTCATTATGTTCTAAATGTACACAGATCTGTTAGGAGTAACGGCCTTTTGTTTAGAGGTGACTAGTTGCTGATCTTATTAGAGAGGAAGTGCTTGCGACACTTATGCATGACTGCCATCTAGTGGCCGAAAACAAACTCTTAAAAAAGAGCCGCATAACATGAAGTAATGACATTTTTTATTATTACATATATTTATTGAACACAATGCGTGTTGCTGCTAACTTGAATTCACGTCTTGCATTGCTGAGCAGTCCTCTCACTATTCCATGTCCAATTCATCCAAATCAAGCATGGTATCTCTCTTGAACCAAGGTAACGTTGAGGGGACGTAGGGGTCGTATGTCCAGTGAGGATACGCTCTCTTGTACAAATTCATCAGGACTGTGTCTTGCGAGCGCAGCTGGTTATCAAAGACACACTTCATGTGACCGTGTGTTCCTGAAATCACAAGTCGGACAGTTGGAGCTCACATCAGATGACTGTTTGTTTGAAGAAGCTGCAGAAAAATCTGATTTCCTCACCTAAAGCCTCCTTGATGTGGCCTCTCCGACCCCATTTTGTCCGCAGCTCCACTGGTTTGAACCACATGATGTCCTCTGGTAAAAGCAAAGAGGATTAAAGCTCGTGTCACATTATTCTGCAATTCAATTCGGTTTCTTTACGTAGCATCAAACAACAAGAGTCGTCTCAAGGACCTTCACATTCCAGTTAGATGTTAAGTTCAGCTGGTTATTCCAGTAAGTTAAACGTTTTCTATCTAAGAAAACCCAGTAAACTGCATCGAGTCACTGACTTATGTCAGAGGCTTTACAGCAATTCTGCTTCTAAGCAAGCATGTGGCAACAGTGGAGAGGAAAACTCCTCTTTAACAGGAAGAAACCTCCAACAGAACACGGCGCACTATGAGCAGCCAGCATGCAGAGTAAAGAAAGAGCGGGGACATCGTGTCACCTCTGTTAAAGAACATGTAACGGACAACGGCCGAACGCCTGTTGATTTTGAACGGGTGTCCACTCAGCACGATCCTTTTCAGGACGACTCGTCGTGGGTCGCAGCTGAGCAGGCTGCCTGTGGCCACCAGGTCCTGAACACCTGGTAGGACACAAAACAAGCGCGGGTCGGTTAAAGAAAACAACATTTTAACGTGAAAAGAGTATTTTTAATCTCACCGTCATCTCTTTGCTTGAAGAGCAGCACTCCTGCAGGGGGGAAGGTGATGGGGGCATAAACCGACACCACAGTGGGGGCATCTGGGCGGAGGAAACGCTCCATCTTATGCTTGTCAGCTGGAGAACGACAACAGCTTCTCATCTTTAATTACAGTTATAGCTAAAGATTTAAAACAAACATATTTACGATAAGAAGGGACACATTGATAAATATATTGCAACATAAAACAAAGGACAAATAATTTAAAGGTGGAAAAGAAGATGTTTTTATACAATTCTAAGGTCCAGTCCCCTTTCTTCAGGGGTCTCATAAAACCTAAGGGCAGTTTGATGGATGGATCAGGCTCCAATCATTAAAGGGGCATTATGGAAGTTTGACAGCCAAAACATGTATAATAAATTTCTTCTTCATACATTCTCCTGCAATGCCCTGGTCCTGTAGAATGAGCCCTGGCATTTTTACTGTGATTGCCTATTTTTCTGTAAAATCACAGAAAAAGAGAGATGCTCGGGCCGAGCAGGCTGCTTCATGCGCATTCACGCTCAGGCATAGCCCGTAGCGTTTGCTATCCGTAGCTTTAGTCTTTGCCGCTGTTCCTAACGCCTAGTGACAAAGCTAGCTACATTTCTGAGGACCCTTAGCTACTTTCTGTAGAACTTTCTTCAAGATATTTCCTGCAAATTAGCAACAAAATAGCCATTTTCGCTCCGAACCGTTCTTTGAACGCTGTTTCAGCTGTCATCTAGGATATAAATGTTACAGATCTAAAGTATATCGCTTGCACTATAGCTCACCTGGTAAGACGATGGACTTTTGAGCGGGAGACCCGGGTTCGATTCCGGGTTTAAATTTAATTTATTTAGAGTTTCTTTTTTACATTAATGGTACTTTTTTTACAGTAAGATGCCCGATTTTTTTTTTTTTTTTTTTGAGACTCGCCGAACGGCATTGAATTCACCGATAAAAAAGATGTGGGTTCAACTTTCATTTTGGAACAATTTTTCAAGCAAGGGAAGGGAATGATCTGAGCATGCAGGAGGACTGACCCATCATAAACCTTTGTCGGCTGTGCTGAAGAGAAAGGTACAGAACCAAATTATTTCATTAATTAGCTGTGCGTTCTCCTGTCCTCCGGGCCACATACACACACACACACACACACACACACACACACAAGGGACTTTCTCAGCTGTTATTTTCGTTAAGGAGTGTGCACGTACAGCATGAGCGCCTCGTGCACGAGCCTACTATTGAAGCTGCCGTTACGCTTTTGGCCTGAGGGGGAAATAGCGAGCATAAAAATTCAAAACTCCGTAAGTCCCTTTAAGAATCAGACATTCACAATAATTAATGAGGTTTTTGCAGGACAGTACATTTCAGAGGCAATGAAATTATTCAATTTTTTTAGTTATTAAAATGTTTCATTTATTTCAAGCAACATGGCAAAAAAGTTCCCAGAAAATGAATCTATTTCAACTTTAATATTGAAATTATGTTGAGAAATGGAGTTAGTTTTTCTGGTTTGGTGAGATCCCACGTTCTTGTGTGATCTGTTAAAGTAGACGTGGCAGGATTATGACTGATATACTGTATACAGCACGTTTTAGTGGTTTCTCTGCTCCAACACACTTGATTCAGTGGTTGAATCACCTGTGCAGCAGCTCATCAGGCGCTGCAGAAACCTGTTAATCACCTGCTGATTGAAATCAGATGTGTTTAAGCAGAGTTCAAGCTCAAACATGCAGGATACCAGCCCTCGAGGCCCATCATTGCTTTATGCTCATTTTCCCATTTGTGACATCACAAAAAGGGTTGTCACGGTAACCGGTGTAGCGGTAAACCCCGGTAAAAAAAAGTTGACAATAATAATAACCGTCTTGTTTTTAAAAAACTATATTATCTCGGTGGATTACCGTGGCTGCGGTGTAGGCGCGGTGACCCTTACCAGCCACCGTATCATCCGCTGAAGTTGCCGGCGGCACATGCGCACTTTGTTGTTTACAACCAAAACTTTCTTGAAGCTAAAGCTGAAATAATGGCCAAAGGAGGAGACGGCAGTGCTCAGGACATTTATTATCCCTCAAAGAAGACAAAGTGGGAAGTACGGGCATCTTTTGCATATTTGAAGAATGCCGAGGGACAGTTGATAGAGACGGCTATCCTGTTTGCAGCACGTGCAGAAAAAGTGTCTGTGAAAGGCAGCAACGCTTCAAATCTCATGACACATCTGCGTGACCATCACCCACAACGCAACAGTCAACGCAAGGCAAGCTAACGTTAGCGTTTTAGCTAAAATGCGTGATCCGAGGATTTGGGTTGAGGGAGAATGCAACGAGTCGCTATATAAAGCAGCCGCAGCACCGCTACCTGCATATAAACCGTGTTGCGGACACCCCCATGTTGAAATGACGCTATGCATTACGGAGCTCCCAGGGGCAGATAAGAGTTGGTCTCTCTCCGAGAATAATTATGAATTTAACAATGATTACTGCCTGATGACATTTTCCCACATCTGCAACGCTCACTGGAAGGACACAAACCGAGGACAATATTTTCCTGATATAGGGTTTATTACTCAAGTAAGGGTAAAAAGTATCTGATTAGAAGGCTACTTGAGTACTGAGTATCTTCTGATCTAATATTTTTAAATGATGACATCAAACAGACAAAAAATAAGAAGTTATGGGCAAATCTTGGTATTTTAAAGACTAAAGGGGAAAAATGTAAACAAATAAACATCATAATTACAAAATAACACATTTTAGGCTAAATTTAGACACAAACTGAGGACAATATTTCCTGACATACAGGGTTTATTTAATTGTGTGAAAATGTAGCACGTTTAAAAAAAAACGCGATAATACCGAAAACCGTGGTAATTTTGGTCACGATAACCGTGTGGTTAAATTTTCACACCGTGACAACCCTAATCACAAACAGGGACTTTTTGAAACAGATTAATTGCTTCTTAACTCATTCACTGCCAATGACGACTAAAGTCGTGATTTACATTTTTTTACTGTGTGGGCATCGGAGCAAGCCCCTGCACCATGAGAACAAACATCTCAGCTCTAAAGCCGATCTTCATCCGCATACGTCACACGCCACGTGATCAGGAAGCAGAAAATCCATGTGTTAGGAGATCGTTTTGGGCCACTGCTGTAAAAAAAAAGTGAGGCGCGAACCGGAAAAGCTTCTGCCGATCACAAAGAACGGTATAACGCTCGAAACTCACGTATTCTTCCTGACATAAGTGAGTCTCTGCTTTGTTCTGGTTGTTTAGGTGTCGACATCATCCTAGAGCGCAACGTTCTGTGACTCTTAAAAAAACAGTAAAAACAGTGAGAAACGCTGACAGCGAATGAGTTAAAAAGCTGCAAACTGAATACTTAGTACTGAGTACTTTAAGCTAAGATTGATTGAAAAACCAAGCACAACTGAACAAGTATTAAAGTAAAAGCTCTCAAATTTCCTGCAAACACAAAGTATTTATGATACAATCTTTAATATTCTAAAGATAAATATCACAAAGTGCTGCATCATGTAAATATTGTCACCTCTGAGACATCAAATGGCATCAGGTTCTCTATAAAGTTTGGTTGCACTGCAGGTGTTACCTTGACTTGTTGCTGCAGTCTTTCTGCAGTTTACATTTCTGCTTTGTTCTCATCACGTCGTCCTCGCTGAATCCATAATCTTGCCAAATGGTCGATGAAGTATTTTTAGGAACAAGCTTCTTCTCGACCTACTTTTATGATCTGGCATTTCTCATTGATTATTGTTTCTTCCTTGCTCTGTGTCTTGTTGGTGATTTTTTATCTGTTTCATTTATTGTACAGCACTTCGTTCAGCTCTCATGCTGTGCTCTAGAAATAAATTGGTATGATTTGGTAGATCTACAGCCGCATCCATTCGTAGCCCGCTGCCTGACGCTAGCGGCCGCCCACCGAGCACCACGGGACGGGCAGCCCTGGGCAGAAAGCAGCCGCGGGTAGTGAATGACACAGAGCAACGAGCTACAAACAGCCGACTGCTTCCATAATTGAATCATTCTCCATTTCCTCGTCTTTCCCTCCTTCTTACAGACTGGATGCGGTTGAGTCATGTGACTCTACGTGACTAGTGGTCTGTGTTTCAGCATCTAATAGGAACACGAACATCAGCAACCTTGTATTTTCATTTTTTTAAATACCGAACATACTGGTGGGACGACGGTGGCACAGGAGTTAACTGCTCGCCCTGGAATTGGAAGGGTCGCCGCTCAGTCTGTCGCTGCGTCCTTGGGCAAGACACTTGCCTGCTGGTGGTGGTCGGAGCACAGCAGACTCGCCTCTGTCAGTGTTCCCCAGGGCAGCTGTGGCTACAATGTAGCCCATCATTACCAGTGTGTGAATGGGGGAATGACAGATTGTGCTGTAAAGCACCTTGGGGGTTCCAGCTTTATCATACAGGCTATTTTCTATACCGACATGGGCAAAATGATGTTGGTACGGGTCAGAAACTTTGGTAATTTTCAGGTTTCCGCCCAGCTCTACCATCTCATCCCCACCATCTAAAAAGAACCTGACGCAACAATAATTGTTACCAACGTCGGCTCATTTCCACGAGCTCTGCGTCAGCAGGGTACTGCAATTTTTAAAAAAAGACTCCATTTGCCATTTTAACAACAGATGTTTTACCTGACGTGTGCTGAGAGAATATAGGCGAGGCCCGGAATCGCCGATATCCACAGTGGAAGACCAGTTCCTCCTTGGATTTGATTGGCTCTGTGTTGCTGGGGTGTCTGTGCACCAGGACGTGCATCACCGACATCTGTTCACAGCAAGAAAAATAATGAGCCCGGAAACGTCTGTCAGGACGACGCTGTGCATCACGTGGAAGCATACCTTCTGCTCGTGAGGCAGCAGAGACACCAACACCAGAGGCTTGCCAGATTGGACGCTCTCCATCACGGAGGAAGGCACGTCGACGATGTGCAGCGTAACGTACCAGCCGACCTTAAGCAGAGGCAGCCGTGAGACAGAATACCTCCTTCAACTATCTAAAATCCACTCCGGTTGTTTTTATACCATTGCCCCCTCTTCTTCAGCTGCAGCCTCTGCCAGTACGCGCCGGCGAGTCCTTTCAAAACTCTGGAACTGGAAAATTCGCGAGTAGTCAAGAGGCAAGTTCTCCATGGGGTCCCAAGGCGAGGAGCGGAAACTTTTCAGGCCCCTGTAGCGCTGAAACCTGGGAGGGAACAACATGAACTGTGATGCTCCATCATTCCGAGGCAGAAAAAAACTAAGTGGGATCATTCGTAAAACTCCCAGACCTGATTCTAGCCGGAGAATCAATGGGCGTGTCCACCTCATCGGGGAACATCTCATGGGAGCGAGCCTCCCGGTAGCGTTTCAGCCCTTCTTCCTCTGCTGCTTCATCCATGTGTTCATCGTATCGCTGATCTGCTCCAGCTCGCTCTGTGGAGCACACCTCTTCTTCTTCTTCTTCTTCTTCTTCTTCTTCTGAAGCACAGCATGAAGCAGGCTCCTGAGAAGATAGGAAATGCACATCTGATTTAATATGACTTTATGTCAGATTTGCTTTCCTTCCTGGTGTGTTTAGGGCAGACTAGATCAGTCATCGAACTATTTAGACATGCAAAGTACAGCTGCCCCCAACACAAGGTAGAATTTCCAGGCTCCACTTCTGTCTCTAACTGCTAACCTCTGTAAAAAAATATCAATGCACTAAAATATCACAATATTTCATGTTAGACAGGGTATCTGCAGGTTTAAGGGAACCAAATTTAAGACTTTTTAAGACCTTTTTTAAGGCCACTTTGACCAAATTTAAGCAATTTTTAAAAATTTAATTTAAGCTATAATTTCCAGCTATTGCCTGGAACCGATGCTAACCACGTCGCAAAGGTGGGAATAGCCATCCAGTCACCATTAAACTTGCGCTTCCCCATGGCACAAGCTCCCACTAGCTTAACCAGCTAATGTGCTCATCTAAAAATAGCCCCCTTTCACAACCAGTTGAATGTGTACGGTTCCGCTTACACCAACGTCATACACAAAAAATGCTTAACTAGGAATTCGCAAAAGTTTTATAGAAATAAAAGAATCTAGTTTATTGCGTCTTTGGTAATTTAAGACCTTTGGAAACTGTATTTAAGGATTATTTGTCATTTTTAAGGATTTTTAAGGTTTTAAATTTGGAAAAGCAAATTTAAGACTTTTTAAGGACCCGCGGATACCCGCGGTTAGACTTAGATATTTAAAGTCCGAGACGTTCTCTGCTGATTCCTGGACGCTAAAACAACAACAGCCTTCCCCTTCGAGAGTCAAGATGGGTGAGTTCATGAATGTTAAGTGACGGTGTGACGTACATCTGTCAGGATTTTCAAATCCTAGAGTTTCATGATCATAAATCTGAAATAATTAAGATAAGGTTTTTCAGCGTTCAACACCTTTAAGGTGATCTTTGGATGAGAAGCGCTGATTTTAAGGAATCTCGCCGTTTTAATGGCAGGTCACACCGACACATCCAAGCCTTTTTATCGTTATTTTACATTCCTGTCGGTGCGTCACAAGCGGAAAAGTCCACAGCACGGGGTTGATTCACAACTCTCCAACATCCTGGCAGCAATAATAATAATCATTTTTATTTGAAGTGCCCCCCTCTCCCATTGTTACCCTCCACAAAATCCTGTATGCTAACCTCGACATCAAACGCTCGCTTCCAACAATCACACATCGTAATGAACCCATTCCATAAGCAAAGTTCCCCCGATGTCTTTTCAAGCAGAGCTGGAAATAAATAAATGTCTGACCCCTCCCTCCGTCCAGACAGGAAGCTCCGTTCACAAGACAGGAAGACAGGAGTCTTCTCTCGGGACTCGAGCTCCTAACACTATTGTTGTGTTGTGGTGAGCAGCATGGCACTGCAGCCCAGAGACAGACGCAGCGAAAACAAACAGCGAGGTGCGCCATCCACGGGTCACGTATGCACCGCTCTGTAAACCAAACCATCCAGGTTTCTCCATCCTGAAAATTATTACAATGTCTAACAATCCTGTAGGTTTGTTCAGGATGAGCGCGTGTGAAAGAGAATTTAATCTACGTCACCATAAATCTGATGTGTGCACCTGAGAATTATTCTCCTCCTCATCTCCATCCATAGCTTCATCCAATAGATCATCATCATCATCACTGCTTTCTTCATCCAGGTCATCATTCTCCTCCTCGTCTTCATCAACGATCCACGTGGCCTGGTAGTCTGATGTTCCCTTGGGGACCTTCATCACCCGCTTGCTCTTTCTGGCCTCTGCAACAGTAAAAACGACCAGAAACAGCCCAGAAAAGTTAGATTATTCTGTTTCACCTGTTTGTTGCTAAACTACAGACCATTTTAAAATCACTAATCGTTTGTTTAAAGAGCAACAAGATCTTGCTTCACTTGATCTGTAGAAGAGAAAGTTTGCAGTTTTGTGAATCTCAGAGCAACTCACGATTCGATTCCGATTCTCGGGGTGCCGGTTCGATTCAGAATCGATTCACAATCAATATTAACAAAGAGTGTCAGTTCCAGGATGAACTACTTAGTTGTACAAGTTAGTTAAAGCTATGGGACATTTTTTATTTTACTTTAAATTGGTCATGCTAAAAAAAAAAAAAGCTGATTTACAAGGTAAACTAAAGTGATTCTAAAACTGTAAACAGAAACAACCTTTTGACCAAAAGGCAACATTTATTTTTGCTTACCTTGTAAAATAAAACAAATCTGTAGTTACCTAACAGTAGCTTTGAAAGTAATATGGTCAAATAATTTTTAAGTATGTGTGGAAACAAGTTTAACATTTGAGTCCTCAACCTGTTTAAAAAAAGTGCCTCGGATTTGTTACAAAGGAAAATGTTTTCTCTTATTTATCAATAACTAAAAATAAACACAAGAGTAATCCTGAGTACTCACTTATCAACTTAGAAAATAAATATGAGAATATCTCAAATTTCTGAGTATGGAAAAAATTACATTCTAGTCCCCACTTATCAGCACATTCAAAAATAAATCATCCCAATTTATGAGACCACAAAAGTAAACGGAGCACTAACTCTCCTAACAAAGACCAAAAAAACACACAAAAGTGTGTCTCAAACCTGTAACGTACCAAACATTTGAGTTCCTGGAATCGATTCCATTACAAGACTACATTAAACAAAAAGGAAAAGACAATATATCGACCAGGGCGAGTTCCAGGGGTGACTGTCTGATTCCCTTCAGAAGAAGCACCCTTGGACAGACGGTGTTTTCCTATCACGCCTCAAGAACATGGAATACAATTCCAACAGCGATCCGTGAACGTAATACTGGGAATTCTTTTAGCAAAGAACTTCAATTGTGGCTATTAGATACTCAAATCTGTTCACACAATCAAACATAAACAGAATACATAACAGTACATTTAAGGACAAGGTAAAGAGTGTTTTTCCACTGAGGTGGGGACTATTATATTGTCTTGCTGCTAAACGGTGTATGACTATATTTTATATGTATCTATGGAAATTTTTTAACATGTGCGGCTACTTTTTAAGTTTTAATACAGGGTAAACAGAAGTAGTTAATTGTACAAATTAGGGTGTATTATGACATGTTTTATTTTTAATTCTTTTTTTATTTTTGGGTTTAATTTTAAGATCACAACATTGTTTTGTATTTGTTTTCCTGATTGTTTGTATTCACACATGTGTAGCAGCTGTCAACTGCTGAGGGACTAAAGATGGAAATTAGCCTTGGCTATAATCTTGCATGTTTACATATGTGTAATTATATATATGTCCATTAATATGTACTGTCCCATTACAAATAAACTTAATCTAATCTAATCTTTATAAATAAGAATCCCGATTCAGACTTGAACTGATGTTTTTTTCAGCACCTCTAAAAAGCAACATTGACCCTTGGCACCTAGATCACCTCGTCACATGGTTTAGCCTAGTTTAGCCTAGCTTATAAACAGCATTCACTTTACACTGGAGCTGATAAAACAAAACAAATCCTACCCAACTGCCCACGTTTACTTTCATTTTCATTGTTCACATGTTTCCTGTAGATTTCATGCTAAAGTGTGTGGGGTGTGTGTTCGATTTTACGTGAGTGATGCAAAAGGTCTTTAGTAACCTGAATTAATGTGTGCTGAACTAATTCTAAGCTATGACATTTACTTGACTATTCACTTTGACCCAAAAATTTAAATACATTCATAAAAATATAACAATAATAACAATAGTTATGTGCTTTAAGAATTCTTTGAAGTTGCCTTTTCCTTTTTTTATTTTCAAAACACCTGCTACTAGCAGCAACAGGTAGCTTATCTTAAGAATTAAAATGCAAATGTGAGGTTTTCTGCTTGCAGCGCCTTCCTGTAGGTCCTTGTTATGGTTTCTGTTGTCAGCGGCTGATGTGAAAAGGCCTTTTAGCTTCTTTCTTCTGTGCTTTGCACTGAGAAAGCAAAAGCTGCACTTAGTTTACAGCCATCTTCTAACACAGAGGGAGGAGATGGATTCAAATCGATTTAGCATTTTGACATTTTTAACATATCTAACAGGTAATGGTACAAATAAAAAAATATTTGGTATGTGACGGTGCCAACATCTGCACTTCTGACAACCCTTTTGTTATTTCCTCTAACACTAGTGAAGCACCATTCAGGTTTCTTGTTATTTTCACTTCCTGCATTGTTTTTTTGTGCAGCTCGAGCTTCTTCACCTTCAGCTTCCATCAGTTCTGATTCTGTCGGCCACGTTTGCTCTCCATCCATAGGGTCCACCTCAGCCTCTGTCTGCAGACTCTCCTGACAGGACGGGTCGGCCTTCATGAGCACACGGACCGGCGCCTCATTTTCACCCCCATCCTGCAACACACAAAGAAGTTTTCACTAAAGACAAATATCTGTATTTGAAGCCTGGAGTTCTTTGTATGCAGGAACCTCCAGGGGAAAAATAATCACTCACCTGCATCTCAAAGTCCCCTCCTTTGCTTGGTTTTACAGGTCTGGTTGTTGTGAAGATGAGAGGAAGTGGGTCTGATGGAGCATCAATCTGACTGAGCTGAAAGTCTCCATGTCCACTGATATGCACGAGTCTATCAACCCGCAGAGCACGACCACGGACGTACCCAGAGACACGGAGGGTACCCAGTCCAGTAGGCCCACTTCTTGCACCTTCAGCAGGGCAGTTGGGTGTGAAAGTGACTTGTTGTGCTAAAAGATGGGGCCGTCTGGTACGGAAACCCAACTTCCTCTGCTTCTGACAGCCCAGGTGTCTAAGAAGAAGAGTCGCATCCTGGTCAGTGTCCAGAGGGAAGAGTCGGGCATCGGGGAAGCGAACTTCGGTGATCTTTGACAAAGTCTTTCTGGATTCAACCCTCTTCTTCACAGGGATGTCACACACACCCTGACACACCAGAGCTGCTCACAGCATGTGGAGGAGAGAGAGCAGAGCTCAGAAAATAAACAAAATCTTTTAGGTTGCCCTTCCCCCCCCCCTCCAAACTGAAAACTCACCATGGCTGGGGAGACCCTGAGCAAAGAGACAGGAGAGACAATAGTCTCCATAGCTGTCCCAACCTTCAGCTGGGTCCAACACAAACACCAGACTATCAGCAACCTTTGCCACATCCAGAAGGGAGTGCATGTCAGCTGTTCAAAGGAACAAAGACTTCCTGATGAAAAAGCACTGAGGAGACAAATAATCTTATCTGGTAAACCTACCAGTGCTCTGGGTTAGAAGTGTGAATCTCTGTTTGAAGCGAGGCAGAATCAGCCCAAAACTGTCGCCGACACCACTGACGCATTGCTCTTGACGCACAAGGCCCCCAGCACCTTCTCCACACAGCAGTTTGATAACAGCTGCTGCATCAGCTCCAGCATGGAGGGACACCACAGCCACCAAATGTGGAGGACCGTCCCTGGTGCCCAGACGCCGCTTTTCCATCAGAACCTACAGCAACACGAGAAAACTCCATCAGGAATTCCGGGGATCCAACTCGTTGAATGTTAAAGAAAATCACCCACCATGTCTTTCTTATTTTTGCGTAGCTGGCTAGCTTTGTGTCTCCGGTCCATCTTCTTTTGTTCCTTACTCTGTTTTTTGGTAAGAGACATCACCGACACCCTCCCTGCGGAGCAGGTCAAAACATTTTACTACTGTTCTTAGAAAATTTTCTCAGTGTGAAGCTAAAGCAGCCAAATATCTTTAATCAATAGAACAGAAACTTAATTAATATTATTTATTCAACCAAATATGAGTGGTTGCTGTTCCTTGATTCTTTTAATTAACTAATATGTTGGTGACTTGCTTCTGGATCATTGTTCTGTGATCAAATTTTACTCAAGATTTGGCTCCAAGTCTTATCTTTGATTCTGGAATACTCTGGATTACACAAGAGATTATGTTTGACTCGTTAATACAAGGTGTATAGTGTCCACTTTGTCTAAACTGTGCAGAAGAAAATACACAAACATGCACAACTCTAAACAAAAAAGTAAAACAAGCTCCAAGAGTAAAATAACTATTAGATTATTATTCAAAAGTCCAACATAAACTTCCAGCTTTTTCCTCATAATCAAACAAGGTATCTGATTAGAATTTGCAGACTGGTTTATGATTATGACGATTATTATTATTATTATTATTACTATTATCAAGTGTAAATAAAACAGCTCATGCTGTGCCCTTGCAACAAGCAGGTCTTATATGTTAAAAAATTGGAAATACACTAAGAAATTACCTAAATGCAGTAATCATAAGTTTATTTACAAAAGAACATGATCCAAGACAGTAACATTTAAATGTTTATTTATTCACTAAGTAATTTATTTACAAGCAGTGATATAAGCTATGAGACTTAACACAAATGTAAATAATAGAAATTAAATAATAATAAACTTATTTAACAATAAACATTTTCGCTTAACCATTTCTGGCCACATTTGATTAGTGCTCATGTACTGTAAATATATTTAGCTAAACAACGTCCAGATCAGATATTTTAAATTTTATACTATAGTTAATAAATAAAACTATATCTAAGTTAAATAAAGGGAATATCTGCACTAAACTTGGTCCTCTTTTGAATTCATCATGAGTGAAAAGGTGAAAACACGTGTTTACTGAGGAAAAAGTCAAGTGCTCGTAAACATTTATAACATTTCGTAACTCAAGGTGCCTTACCTTTATTTTCTCTTTCAATTTCACCTTTCGTCCGGTGTTTACCATGTTTGTGTTCTTTATTTTTTTGCTTGTATACGCCGGCTCTGTGGCCCTGCTGCTTTTCCTCATTTGCAGCCATTTCTTACCACGTGGGAATGTCAGCTAATCTACTTCCGCACTTTCGGTGGCGTCACAGGAAGAAGGCGAGTCTTCAGATCTTCTGGGATTTTGTTCCTTCAAAATAAAAGCTTTATTCGAGCTCATCGAATGCTTTTACGCTTTAAATGTCAGTCAAAAACTAATCTTAAACGCTTCTTCTCTGTATTCACTTTTGAAAGGGTTTACGCAAAATGACTCAAAGTCTCAGTTTTCAAGGAACAAAAATAAATAAAACAGCAGCAATGTGAGAATTATTTTACGTGACAAATTAAACCACCACAAGGCAATCAGCTCATTTTTTTAATGAAATCTGGGTTTGCTAAACTATGGAATTATGGAAACTATTTTTAAAAATTAGATCAGCATCTTAAATAAATTCTACTATAAATATTTCTTGTGTGGCCTTTTTAAAATACATTTAAAATAACAAACTGGAAAGGGCATGTTTATTTCATTTTTAATAATATTTGCATCACATTTGTTTTAGCAATATGCTAAGTTTGGCAGGAATTCATTTCAAATTCCTTTTTTTATTTTGAAGCAAAAATTGTAATTTTTAGCCATTCATACTTACCCCCCCCCCCCCACCCCCACCCCCCCACCCAAGGGTGTAAGAATAACAAGCCTAAAGAGGTAATTAATTTGAATGAACTCCAAATAGAAATTTGGTGTTCAACCCATAACAATTTCAGACTTCTGTTTCATTCTGCACAAGCATCTGTTCAGAGTGCCAGTGTTATAAAGCCTGCCTTTGTGTTTGAGAAAATGTCTGAGAAATGGATAGAGTTCTCTTTTTGTTTTTCGTTATTATTTGAGAAACTTGCAGTATTGCCCTTAGTTTTCTGAGGACAGTGAAGTTACAGGCTGTAGTGTATTTTCATTAGACCATTAAAATGGGCGTGAGAGCAAAACACAGTATGTTGAAATTTTGTGTCTTATGCAACAAACTGAGGTAGGAAAAATAAATAAAAAATCACAAAATATTAACGGGGACAGATTTTGCAAAAATCACCTTTGTGCTACCATGTACTGCCTCCAGGTTGGGAATTCAGTATCAATCCAGAGAATACAAGCGGTTGCTGTATCTCTCTGTTTTGGTGGCAGCTTGAATTTCCATGGTGGAATCCAAGACTGTATGCAGGTTGATTTCCCCGTAAACTCTCAGATTGAGAGGGGTGGGGGTGTCTGCAACAATAGCAGGCTATCAGGCCTGTGAGATGTCATGGCGCTCCCGATGACTCGTCCAATCATTTTCAAAAGGCAGTCTATCCGTTTTCTGTCAGTGTTTGGTTATATAAATTATGTGCCTAAAACAAACTGTTTAAAAAGTCTTCATTTGTGATGTCACAAACTGGAAAAGTAAAATAGAACACCTGTTGTGCTGAAGAGAGCATGCCTGCCGAAATGTGCATGCCTTGTTGAAACAATCGCAAATTGCGGACGTAAACGATTAGAATATTGAGCGATGAGGCTATTTTTAATAGATTTAGAATGCGAACACTTTCCTAATTTGCATTTCTCCAGAAAAAAGTTTGTTTTGGACTAGAAATATGATGAAATTATGATTATACAAAAACATGTAATAAACAATAATTAATTTAATTTACACATAAACCATCGTTTTCTAAGGAAACCTGCAGATAACAAACATGTCAATAGTACAAATTTTGGCAGGCATGCTCTTTTCAGCACACCATCACCTCTCATGTGCAAAAAAAAAAAAAATCCGCTGCTGGAGAAGCAGTGGCTCTACTCCAAACCCCTCCCAGATATTTGAGCTTCTTAGCTTATAGCAACATGGGGGGGGGGGGGGGGGGGCGTGGCCAGCCCCAGTTTGTTCTGAAACAGCACATTTTGGAAGATACTGAAAATGTCGAGAATAAAACTGATGAAATCACTTTGTGTGAGAGGGATTTAGCGCAAAAGCTTCATCAACGTGTTTTGTATCAACCTTATGTCAAAGCAAAATTTCCACACTTTGAAGCATATTAGTACAGAAAAAAATGGTTATTTTTTTCCCTTGACAATTATTTTGGAACTGCTCTATTATTTACAAGGCAAACAATTGCAGATGTAGTATTTTAAATGATGCTCCAGTGTTTCCGCTTCTGGATGTTCCTGGGTCAGGCAGAGTTTACTGCAACAGGCAGGGCGGAACTGCTGCTAGCAGCATGTCGAAGGGAGACGGACAACCAGGCAGGCAGAGTTAGCTACGCACGCATAACTTAACAATTCAGATGCCAGTGGGGTAGGTTAAACACCCGGTTCGTCAAGAAGACTCCGCGGATACTATCGCGGCTTGTTTTATGGGTGCTTGGGAAGTTTTTCGACTGCCCTCGCTTTTCTTCCCAGCGTATTTTTACAAACGAGAGGCGGCGGTTGAGCGCTCGGCAGCCATCTTTGGACCTTTCCTGGGAGTGGGATCTGACTACTCTGGCACCCCCAGTTACTTCAAGGGTGGGCATTTTAATCTTTAAATGTTTCACTTGTGTGTTTAGTGCAGGGAACTGACAGCACGGAGAACCGTGAGGGTTTTCTTAGTGTTTGTTCTGAGACTGGGCCTGTGAGAGCGTTGTGTTATATTCCCGTACTGTTTCAGTAGACGACATTCTCCACAACAGCGTTCAGAGCTGGCCTGTCAGAGCAGGGAGTTTCGGCTAAGTGGCTAAGCTAACAGACTCCACCGTTTATACTTTTGTTTTATTTAACTCATTTATATCCCTCAGGTGCCAAATGTAGTTTACTGTCAGGATTAGATTGAAACGCAGCAGCTATTGAAGTGATAGTTAATCCCGAAAGTGCTCGTTTAGGCTTTATTGAGGGAACATAATGGCATGTAAAGATTTTTTTTATCACAGCAATAACAGGACAGAATTTAGAAATCAACCATCACAACAACCTTATTTGTTGTAGTCAGACTTAATTAGTGTAACAGGTTTTTATTTATGCTATGCCACTGCAGTTACATAATTGACAAGACCTCTTAAATGACCTCTTTGGAGTCCTTAAAAGTTCAAATTAAGCTAAAAAGTTTTTAAAAAAATCATATTTTTAATGTGGATGGATTGAAATAAGTCAGATATTGATATTTATTTCTGTGTAATTAGATTTTTGAGATACAGCTGCTCTAATATTAAAAATTGGTTGTTTTTATATGAAATTTGGTGTTCTTTACTTAAAGAGCAAGTCACCCCCTACCAGAGTATTGCTCCACTCCCACTTTCTGTTTGAAAAATGTAACAAATGCTGTTGCCTAGCAGACCGAGAGGGCAGAGCCGCTAACAAATACACACACACACACACACACACACACACACACACACACACACACACACACAGGCTCACAATGACATTGTGACATCATATGGTACCAGCTAACGTTCTAGGTTACCTCTTAGCCAATAGCAATAGGGCATATTCAAATACAGTGCAGTTTTTTACATGACAATGGCACAACACTGACAGTTTTAGGCAGAAAATAAAAAATGTAACTAAAATGCACTAAAGTGCTAAACTGCTGACTACATGTGTCTGCAGCATGATTAGACACACATTTATTTAGTTTATCAGAAAAAAAAGTTGGTTTGGGGGTGACTTACTCTTTAATTTCCCACACAAAAATAATGATTTGCCCGTTATTTCTATCCTTGAAAGCTTTTAAATTCACTGTCAAATGTCTCATTGTTTTGTTTGTTTTTGCATTGATGCCAAGGATGTAAAATACGGTATGTCAGAATGTTCACCAGAAGCCATTCCTACCTCCCCATTGCAGTGTTAACAGGAAATGCTGAGAAATGCAGTGTAGTGAGGGCATACATTGGGAATTCCAGCCTTCCAGCTCTGCTGTCCTGTCCTGCTGCATTCTTCTGCATTTGTATGCACTGGTTTGAAGGATTGGGTGGTTTAGGAAGGTATCGACTATCGTCACTTTTTTGTCTGTGGTTGAAAACTCTGATCATGACACAAGACAACAAAGCTCGCTGAGTGGCAGCAATGTTGTAAAAGAACAATGGCAATAAAGAGGCACAGTCTTGCATGGTAATGAGGCTCTATTTCAGGGCTGTGGCTGCATTTGTGTGAAATAGTGTGCTGTTCAGTGTTGTTGTGTGACAAAAGATGTCTGCTTGGACTGGGGGCTGTTTCTCTTCGGCTGGGAAAGAAGAAGTCTTGTGACTAGCGTCAGCTCTGCATCTGCTAGCAACTGATCATCTGAGCGGCATGGACTTAGGAAAAAAAATTCAGTTACACTGGAACAGCTGTGGCAACAAGAGTTTTATTGATAAAAGTGTAGCCTTGAATAATGGAGTGAACACTCATGGATTTATGTTTAAAAGGTTGATTTTAGTCCAAAATGAAGTAACTGAGATAATTATTTTTTTACCATATCCTCAGAAAACAAATAGTTTGGTGGTTTACTTCTAAGTCAAAGATAATTACATCTTTGCCTTTAATTTATTCACTTACAAAGCAAAATCATGACCTTCACTACATTTCTTGTTTTCTTAGGCGTATTAGACATTGTTGTGATTAAACATCATTTCAGAACATGAAGTACCTTGAGCAGAAACAAGAGGGAAACATAGACTAAGTTGTGTCAAATTCCTGGTGAAACATCACTCAGAATGATGTATTTTCTTTTTTAAATTTACAGTTGACAAACTCGCTTTTCAGCACTTTATCACTGCCTGTCAGTCTGGTGTGAAAACGTATTGACTGATTAGTCTGACGCTGGAGCAGTCGCTTTACAATAGATTAAAAAGTAGTAAAATACAAGTGTGTGTGTGTGTGCGTACCTGTTTTTATGTTTTAAGTGGACATAGTTTAACTTTAACCTGTACTGTGTGGACATTTCCACATTATGGGAACATTTTGCTGGTCCACGCAATGCTAAGCACCCTAAAATGTGGTCTTAGAGGTATGATGTGAATTAGCTTTTAGTTTAGATTAAGGTTAGGAACAGAACCCCACTGGTTAATGTTAGGGTATGGGTTAGGCATAGTGGAGTCACTAAAATTAGTGGAAGGCAATGGAGGTCCACACAAACAAGTAAGTGAAACAAGTGTGTGTGTGTGTGTGTGTGTGTGTGTGTGTGTGTGTGTGTGTGTGTGTGTGTGTGTGTGTGTGTGTGTGTGTGTGTGTGTGTGTGTGTGTGTGTGTGTTGGCATGGTCCCAATAATTTTAGACATGCAGACACAAAAGATGCAGAAGCCCTAAGGTAGTAAATACACCCATGAGTCTAAGTGTTGGTCTGCCTAAAGACTAATGGGTGCTTTATTTTGAAGTTAAATGTAGTAAATGTATACATTCCTGGGTACTTTCTAGAGGGGAATAATACTATAGACAGTAAATATTGCTTCAAAAGCAGCAGGTTTATGTTTGTAAGACCTCTCATTAAAAAGGAAGAGATGGGTTTAACCGATGTCAGGACTGCCTTATTAACAGAGCTTGACTTGCTACACTGCATGTTCTATAGAGAAAGAAATGGATCATCATTATGTACGGCTCAAACAAGCTGACAAAAGAACCACCAAAAAGATCAAACAAAAAATCTGGTTCCTAGAAAATGTTTCTCTATCCAAACGTACGTTTTGATGTCTGGCGATGCAGCTCTTACTCTAACCCCGTTTTCAACAACATTTCAATGGATATTTCCAGAGATTTACTACTACTAATTCACACTGGACACATCAGCTGCGTGGAATAGCTGTGGAACAATTTACTGATGTTTTAGCTGCATGCCAGTACACACCGGGGGAATCTCAGTCGCAGGGCGGCTTCTCTGCCGAGCTCCTCGATGAACTTGTGAGATGATAAAATCCCTCGAGTTTGTGCCATCCGCCATTAAACAAAAAATTCTCAACAAATTCAAAAAAAGATTTCCTGTCTAGCCTTATGTTAACTGGAAATTGATGTGTCCCAGAAGTATCCTGCGGCAGAAATAGAACCCAGCCCCACCTCTAGCAACGTGGTGTGGCCTGGCACTTCTGGGATGCACCTGAAAATTTCCACGTTGCGGATGGTTTGAACCACCCCCCCACCTTCTAGACTATAATGGATTTTATTGGAAGTAGTGACGTTCCGCGGCCGTTCCGCGCCGCTGATGCTTCCAGTGTGAAGTAGTGGTTAGGAAAGTTTTACCTCACCAAACTTATTTTGAAGATATTCAACATTTTGCTGCTAATATTTAAATGTAGCCAGATGATCCAGAAAGCTGTTCGAGCAAACTACATTTTAAAGGTCCAACCCTTTTTCTTCAAGTTTCCCCCTTCAAGCCACGCCCCCAGAATACATGATCATACCCAATGCAACGTATATCGTCAAAAAAAACACAAAAACATAACGTTTTATTATATAGCATATATATATATATATTTAAGAGGTGCTGAAAAAAATCGATTCAAGTCTGAATCGGGAATCTTATTTATAAAGGTTCAGAATCGATTGCAAGAACTCAAATGTTTGGCATGTTACAGGTTTGAGATGCACTTTTGTCTGTTTTTTTTTAATCTTTGTTAGGAGAGTTAGTACTCCAATTACTTTTGTGGTCCCATAAATTGAGATGATTTATTTATGAAATCTGCTAAGTTGGCACTTGACTAATTTTTTCCATACTCGGAATTTTGAGATATTCTCATTTATTTTCTAAGTTGATAAGTGAGTACTCAGGATTACTCATGTATTTATTTTGTTATTGATTAATGAGAGGAAACACTTTCCTTTGTAAGAAATCGGAGGCACTTTTTTAAACATGTTTCCACACATACTTAAAAAGTATTTGACCATATTACTTTCAAAGCTACTGTTAGGTAACTAAAGATTTGTTTTATTTTACAAGGTAAGCAAAAATAAATGTTGCCTTTTGGTCAAAAGATTGTTTCTGTTTACAGTTTTAGAATCACTTTAGTTTACCTTGTAAATTTGCATTTTTTGATCATGACCACTTTAAAGTCAAATAAAAATGTCCCATAGCTTTAACTAACTTGTACAACTAAGTAGTTATTCCTGGAACTGAAACTCTTTGTTAACATTGATTGTGAATCGATTTAAATCGAGAATCGATTCTGAATTGAATCGGCACAATTGAATTGAATCTAATCAAATCGTGAGTTGCTCTAAGATTCACATCCCTAATATATATTATTGATCTTTTAAGTATTTCTGTTTTAGGTTTTCTTGTTGTTTACTCTTTATTCTTATTTTTTTACTCCCCCTGTTTTCTCCTGTAATGAATGTTATGGCTGATGTGACACCAAGCTTCCCCCACTGAGGATAAGGGGATTTTCTATTCTCGTCATCTTTCTGTAATCTTTCCAGTTCCTGTTTTAAAGTGGGTTAAATATTTTTTCACAGGCCAACAACAAAAATAAGAAAAACAGTAATTCCCTTAAATGATAATGTAATATTTGACCTGTTAACTTTAATGCTTTGGAGCAGAAAAGGTGCATAAAACCCACAATAATTCAAGCTCAGTTTGATTTACTGTGATGCTCACCTGTTCCAGCCTGATACCCACATCTCTGTGGTTGGGCTCTGAGGAAGGAGTTCATCAGTGAGACTCCTGTGTTCTGTTCATCTTCATCACAGACAACAGTTGCTCACATAGGTAAGTGCTGCTGAACATGGAGAGAATCTGAGCAGCTTGACCACACAGTGTAGTCAGTGTGTTGTGGAGGAAAGATAAAAATTGCAGCAGCCACAGTCATACTGACTTGTCTTGAGTGTGTCACTAAACTGGAGTTAAATCATCTTGGTCTGGAAGTTGGTTGGTGCGCTTTGTATGTCGGCCGAGAACAGAGCTGTTAAAATTCATTTCTGGGCTTCAAAGTCGTCAAATTGCTGAGTAAACTCGGCGCTGAGAGAGAGGAGAGTTTTCAGTTTGTCCGAGACTGAGGAGGCAGCGCTGCTGAAGCCACTAGCAGCGTGGATGCTAATGAATGTAAAAAGAAAGGAGAGGGTGCTCCAACAGACGCGCTAACGCCACAAAGCACTATGGGATTTGTGGTCTTTGCAGCAAAATCAACTGGCGGGCCAGTTTTAATATATATTTGGTATTGCAGGCCAAATAAAAAAATAGACCCCTGGCCAAATTTGGCCCGAGGGTCTGAGTTTGACATTGCATTAGGATTTCTAACTAGCCATTCTTCTATTATCCTGAAATTTCAGTTCTAGTTGATATCAGAACCTCTCCTGCCATAAACGCTAAGCAGAAAGCTTCCCTCCTTCTGATTCGTCACTTTCCATGACTAATATTTTGTTTCTCTCTTTTCAGCCCTGAACACACATGAAAGCACAGTCCTTCAGATGAGCCGTCACTGGGGGCTTTACCGTCGCAGACCCAGATAGTTCCCGGTGACAGCGACGTTGCCCCCAACTCCACATTATGCCCAACAGCAGTCGGGTGGGGAGCCTGAAGGACCCCGAAATCGCAGACCTCTTCTTTAGGGAGGACCCAGAGAAACTCTTCACAGATCTGCGTGAAATTGGACATGGCAGCTTTGGTGCTGTTTATTTTGTGAGTAATCTACGAGAAAATTAAGCCTTAAATGTTTTTTCAGTCTGATCTTTGTTTGAACTGCTGTGGCCTCGGAGAATACAGCATTCTAGTTGGAGAGAAGTGGTTAAAATAAAACAAAACAAAAACATTTTTAAAGAGCAGGTTCACCGAGAAACTGTTTTTTCACTTATTTGTAAAATATGATCGATCATTCTGAGTTTCACATGCAGTCTAAATATGAAAATAGTTTTCTACTATTTCATGCATTAGCTTTCTGATAGAAAAACGATGAGGAAACACTCGTCTGTTAAATGGAACAGATGTGACCGCGGCTGTCCAGAGCCTGTCTTTTGCTTACGCGCTCTGTTTACGTCCCGCCTATCATAGTAGCCTTTTACCTTTTAAATTGTGTATATACTGGCTAAATTAAGTGTGTAAGCGAGTAAGTACCTGCTTGCCACCTAGGGCTGTCGCGGTAACCGCAAAAATGAAATATCGCAATATGAAGAAACCCACCGCGCTGCATCATGGGCCACCGCGATTACTGAACTTGGTACAACTCAATGATGCATGTTGAGAAGGAAGGCTGCACTGGTATCAAAACGAAACGTTACTTCGCCGGTTTTGAGTATGTCAGCTGCTGCGCAGCCAGAGTCCTTGGCCGAGACAGAGCTGCCACCAGCGGCAAAAAAATAAATAAATAAACAAACGCTCGGAGACCTGCTGAAGTCCTGGACAAGCACTGCTTCTGCAACCGTCCCGAAGAGAGTTTGAGCCGAGCTGGAACTCACTCGCTACCTGCAGGAGGAATGCATCCACCCTAAAGAAACCCCCCTGACATGGTGGAGCAACAACCGGGAGAGATTCCCTTTGCTCGCCAGAGTCGCACGCAAGTACGTGTGTGTTAGTGCAACGAGCGCGCCATCCGAGAGGGTTTTCAGTGTTGCTGCAAATGTTGCCACCCCTCTCAGATCCTCTCTCAAACCGTATATGGTTAACATGCTGGTTTTACTTGTAGGTAACAAGGACGTGACCGAGCTATAAATCACCGTCATTCGTGTGTGTGAAAGTGAATTGAAAGTGCGCCCGCCCCCCCCGGCGCGCGCGCGCCCGGTACATGTAATTTTTTATGCTTGATTTTAAACAACTAAACAAAATGGGGACTTGTTTCTTATTTGTTAGATGCTGCAGCCAAATTTGCATTTAAAAGTTTAACCTTCTCCTGAATTTTGTTGTTTTTAAGTTCAGTCGGACTCCGACTGTCGAAGAAACAATTCGTTACTGCGATCTGTGTTGTTACTGCCCTTTGATCTGCACTCAGTAAAGTGTTATTAAAGAAGGCACGGCAATTTTTAACTTTTTTTAAATGTGTAAACATTATGTTTAGATAGTACTGCTATAAAAAAAAGTGCTGCAATAATATCGCACACCGCAATATTAAGCCACCCTGAATCACCGCAGGGGGAATTCCTCAACCGCAACAGCCCTATTGCCACCAAAGCTGCAACTAACCAACCACAGAAAACTGCTTTGGATCTAAAAAAAACAACATTTTAGAGATCAGCTGGATAGCTAGAATTAGTTGACTTACGTTTAAACTGGAAATTTGCCCCCAAAGTAGCTGCTGCCAGGTCCTGATCCGCCATATTTTTGAAAATTCCGCACTGTATTCTGAGGATTTTTGACTAAAGCCGGGCGTACACTGTGCGACTTTTTCACTTTTTTGAGCCGATTTTCCACTCGTGCGAGAATCCACAAGATCGGGGCGAGTTTTGCGCCGAGCGTCGTGTAGTGTACAGGGGGTTACGAGAGGCGATTAACACCACGTGACCAGCTGCCGATCAGCAATCGTGAGCTCGCACGGACTTCTGGCGTGTTTGATATTTTGCTCGTCCCTCGTGAGGGTATCGCGCTGTTGAAGCGGCGCTGCGAGCAGCTGCGACCCAAAAAGTATCAGAACCGCTCACGGCGCATGCGCAATCCTGCATCAACACTGCTTGCCCGCTATTTCCCTAATAACACACATTGTTCGTTTTAATTTCTGCACATTTTTTACTCACAAAGATTGTCAAGAAAGCGTGTTAGTCGTGTTCATGTCAAATTAAACTGATCACAAAACACAGATTTACTTTCTTTATTTTGTTTTCCTCCTCCAACCTCCATAAATCCCTGTGTGTCCTCCTGCAGCACTCCTGAAGGACAACAGGCAAAACAAGACAAAAAAGTCTGACGTATTGAGTAAAAACTGCTATTTTTAGCATATTTTTAGGTCCGACGTGTTGCTACCAGACGTACAGTGTGAGCTGTCCGGTCACATCCGAGAACTGGGTCGTACAGTGTGAGCGCATGACTCGTGAGTTCTGGCCCGCGAGGAAGTCGTACAGTTTGAGCTGAAGCTGAGTGCTACGAGTGAAAATGTCGCCCAGTGTATGCTCAGCTTAAGGGAAGACAACAAGGCTCCTCTCATGTGTCCTTGATCAGTTGGCTAACCGGCAGACAAACAGAGGACAGACGCCTCCGTAGCACATGAACATAGGAACATGCCTTGGTGGTTCCTGGTGACTTATCTCCTAGGCAACTGGGGTGGGATCAAGGCAAGGTTCCTTTACATTGAGAAACACCCCCAGGCTCATTTCTACTTCCTGAAACAGGAGCGCCAGAGCTTTTTCCCCCACAGAGATCGACTCACAAGGCATTCATTTATACTAGAGACCACTGCAGACTTATTGAAAAAAAGGACTGAACTTGGTCTTTAAATAGTATGTTTGAGGATATTTATTGGTTTTTGGTAATAGAATAGTTGAAACAATTTCAATAAGATGGTTTTCTAATGTGTTTAATAATGTGGTCATGTTGAAGGTATTGCTAAAATAATCTGTTGTCTCGTTGACGATCACAAACATCCAATGTTCTGATGTTTTAGGCACAGGATGCGCGGACAAATGACGTGGTTGCCATCAAGAAGATGTCTTATAGTGGGAAACAATCCAATGAGGTCTGATATAGTGATCCATCATTTTTTAATAGCTAATACCTGAATTTATTTACTGTCAGATTTTCAGATAATGGTGTAAAACATTATTTTATTATTTACATTTTGTGTATTCTGCTGCTTATAGTGTTTCATTCAAAAAGAATACCCATTTCTCTCTTTGACTCTAATATTTAGACTTTTGATTGGTTATAAATATTTAAAAATGTGATAAATTTGACTCATTTTGCAGAAATGGCAAGACATAATCAAGGAAGTGAAATTTTTGCGGCAAATCAAACACCCAAACAGCATAGAGTACAAAGGATGTTACCTGAGAGAGCATACAGCTTGGGTAAGATTTTCATTAGACAGTTACTGGTATCAGTATTGTACCGGTAAAATAAAAAGATCATTGTTTAAATCAAGATGAAAACACCATTTCCTACTAAAGGCTTGATTTTATTACAGCTGGTGATGGAGTACTGTCTAGGATCAGCTTCAGATTTGTTAGAAGGTGAGTGGCTGTGAAATTAGACACTCAAATCCCACTGTGACATCACTGATGATGCGTACCTTCCAGTTCACAAGAAGCCTTTGCAAGAAGTTGAAATAGCTGCAATCACCCATGGTGCTCTTCAAGGTTTGGCCTATCTTCATTCCCACAACATGATTCATCGGTGAGTGCCTTAAGTGTTTCAAGCATGCCAAGACATTTTGCCGCCAGGCGTTTCAAAGCTTCGGTGTGTTTGACAGGGATATCAAAGCAGGAAACATCCTGCTGACAGAACCCGGCCAGGTGAAACTGGCAGACTTCGGCTCTGCCTCCATCGCCTGCCCTGCAAACTCCTTTGTTGGGACGCCATATTGGTACGCTCAATTTTAAAATGAGATCTTAGAGCAACTCGGCATATTCTCCACAGGTCTATTATTTACATTCTCACTTACTGCTTTTGTTTACATTCCCAGGATGGCCCCAGAGGTTATTTTGGCTATGGATGAGGGTCAGTATGATGGAAAGGTGGACATCTGGTCTTTAGGAATAACCTGCATCGAATTGGGCAAGTTAACTGTCATCAATGGAACTTTTTCTTTTCTAATTTTGAATACTTAAGTAGTTGTTCTACCCAGTTTTCTTTTCCACTCTTCCTGGTTTCGGTGTCCACATGCTTTGGGGACTTTTTTACTGCATTGTTTCTCATCTGTGGTGAAGTTTTCCATAAGCAGTACTGTAATTATCCAACAGTCAGTCTGCTTTCGTCGAGGAAGTGCTGTTCCTGTAAAAGTGTAAAAAATGAGAAACATCCATGTTGATCTTCTGCATGTCAGCTTTGTTGGATTTTATTTTATCCTCTTCCAAACTGAATGAAAGCTCGAGTCAAGTGCATACTTGGTACATGTTCTCAGTGGTCTGATAAGTTACAGCTTAGGGTTATTCCCGTTTGACTCATTTAAAGTGCTCTCTGGTTTGTAGCCGAGAGGAAGCCTCCGCTGTTCAACATGAATGCTATGAGTGCCTTATACCATATAGCACAGAATGAAAGCCCAACTCTGCAATCTAGTGAATGGTGAGTTTTGACGTAAATGTAGTCATTGTTCATTTATCAGCTGCAGTCTTAATCTCGCTTGTGTTTTTTTTTCCCCCCACTCCACTGTAGGACGGATTATTTCCGAAACTTTGTCGATTCTTGCCTTCAGAAGATTCCTCAGGACAGGCCAAACTCCGAGGAACTCCTAAAAGTGAGATACTGAAGTAGCTGCTACAGATATCTCTTTTCGTGGTTAGTTCTTAAAGGGCCAGCACCACGCCTGAGCCTGTGTAGGGGAAACGCTGGTAGTGTTTTATAGCAGAAATACTAATAAAGAAATGTAAAGTTGCCTGTCATTGTAAATAATTGGGTGTAACCTGTAAAATTCATCCAGACTCCCTCAAAGTGCTAATTAGCTAACCCACTATCAAAATAAAAGTAGCATTGCCTCTAATATTTATTTATTTATTTAACCAGGAAGGTCCCATCGAGACTAAAAACCTCATTTTCAAGGGAGTCCTGGCAGCAGAAGTTACATTTACAACATTTTTCAGTTACACAGACATGGCATGTACAAAATAACAGAAGGCAGTCACAACACAGGGAATCCGTCCCAAGGGCTCTCAGTCTGGTTTTAAATGTAGTCAAGGAGATAAACTCCGTTAATTTCCAGTTTTCCTGCAGCCTGGTCCTTGCAAAAGGAGCAGAGTGAACGAAAGCCCTTTAGTCCAGTTCGGTGCGAGCAAACAGAACACAAAGTAACAACTGATCATTTGCATGCTCTGTTAAATAGCTCCATTTTGGTGAAAACTAAACTTTTTTTCTTCATTTAACAGCTGGAAATGCTGGTATTTTATCAAGTTTAATCAAAAGTGGACCATATATTACACAAATAATGTGTGTTAATTGTTATTTTTTAATTTAACGGACAAACTAGACTTTTATTTTTATGTCAGGACGTTTTTTTAACCACTGCAATGACGCAGCAGAGAATAGTTCTGTTCCAATTGCCATCCTCGCCCTCCCCTACTCGGTAGAACGGACTTCCTGCTGTACTTGCCAAGAACATACTTGTCAAGTACACAAGAACGTACCAGCATCCTTGGGTATTGAGACACGGCCAGTGACTTTAATTCTAGGGGTGTGTTCTGTGTTCTTTCTCCAGCATGCATTTGTGCAGCGTCCGCGTCCAGAGTCGGTTCTAATAGACCTGATCAATCGCACCAAGGATGCAGTGAGGGAGCTGGACAATCTGCAGTATCGTAAAATGAAGAAGATCTTGTTTCAGGAAGCTCACAATGGTCCCATAACTGAGGCGCAAGATGACGAGGAGGTTTGTTAAAAGGCTATAGCTTGTTGCTAATATTGTGTTGATTGTTGTTGTGAGCTTGTTTCTGCCTGCCGTGTGTTTTCACAGGAACCAGAGCACAGTGTGAGTAGAACAGGCACGGTGAACAGCGTGGGGAGCAGCCAGTCGATCCCGAGCATGTCGATCAGTGCCAGCTCCCAGAGCAGCTCCGTCAACAGCCTGACTGACGCAGGCGATGACCAGAGTGAGGGGGACATGAAGGGAGACCACACAGTGATGTCCAACAGCTCTGTCATTCATCTCAAACCTGTAAGATCTCATCAGTATCTGTTCAGATCAAACACACGTTTGCATGATTTATTTTCATTTAGGCTTCTTTTTGTACCATTTAGGAACAAGAGACAAGGAATGAAGAGCCAGAGCTTCAGAACCGAGCCACAACAGAGCCACAATCCCCTTCTGCACAAACTCAAAGGCCAAGAAACCGGAATCGTGAACACTTTGCTACAATACGAACAGCTTCAGTGGTAAACACACTTATTCTATATGTGCACAAAACAAAAGGTTCATTGCTGCTTTTATCTGCAGGACAAGCTATGCTTTAATCTTAACAAGGAATCGTCACAAATCCCACCTCATGATCTGTCAGTGCTATGAGGATGAAAAGACTTTTTCATTTATCTAATCCATCTCGGGGGGGGGGGAATGTTCTTTTTCAGCTGACTCGCCAAATTAAGGAGCACGAGCAGAATTCCGAGTTAAGAGAGCAGATTTTGGGCTACAAACGCATGCGGCGCCAGCATCAGAAACAGCTGATGGCTCTGGAAAACAAGCTGAAGGCTGAGATGGACGAGCACAGGCTTCGCTTGGACAAAGAGCTGGAGAACCAGAGGAACAACTTTGCTCAGGAGATGGAGAAGCTGATCAAGAAACACCTGGCGTCCATGGAGAAAGACGTAAGCTTTCCACTCGTTTTCTATTTGTTTGTATGAAATGTTTACATCACTAATAAAAATAACCTGGTTTTCTCCTGTGTTTGAGTTTAATAAACGGGTCAAATTAAAAACCTTTGTTCATCTGGCAAAGATTAAAAGAGATTTCTGAGTTTAGTGGATGTGGAGCAACAGTCAGTTTTAATTTGCAGGATATTTGTGTGCATCCACTTTGTTCATTTCAGCATTTAAGCTATTGCTGCTGGATTGTTTTATCATTGATGTCGTTCGTATGGCATTCTGTTATTTAAAGCAGCCAGACATGATTACTGTTTAGGACCTTATAAATGACCCGCACTAGTCGCGTTTCCACTACAGGAGTTCTGGGAAATTTCTGGGAGGGGGAAAATCTTGTGTCTCCAAACAAATACGTCCCTTTCAAGATTTTGCTAAAACGACGTCATAATGCCACTGACTGAACATTGTGTGATGTCACTGGTCAGCGCCCAAAAACATCTTTGGACAATAAAAATAGGGATGCACCGATACGATACTGGTATCGATACCGGAATTGGTATCTGTGCCGATACCAATACCGGTATCGGTAAAAGTTAACCGATACCAGAAACCGATACCAGTGCAGTTGCTTGAAAATGGCTTCACTGTAACTTGTCATTTCTGTTCACCTAATATTTTAGTTTTGTGATGATTTCCATTTATATATTTTACTTTTTATCTACCTCACAGTCTTTTCCTGTTGAAAGCAGAGAAGAAAATAAAATCTGTGTTCCAAATTATTGCATTTTTTTGTGTGGTAGAAGTATCTGTATTGGTAATCGGTATCGGCGAGTACTCAGATCCAAGTATCGTATCATATCGTTGCTCCCCTAAATAAAAACATTAAAAGTTTTATTTTCTCAAATTAAGCCATCAATTGTTTCCATTCAGGGGACCAGGAGAGCGGCAGTGTGAAGTAAAAAGTGGAACTGACCTAGGGCTGGGCAATAAATCGAAAATGTATCGTTATCAAGGTGAAATCCTTGATATATCGTGATATTGATTTTAGGCCATATCGCCCAGCCCTATACCGACCAGAACAACCATTTTTACGATGCTCTGTTGGCGACCAGAACACGGCCAACGTCGTTGGGGATTTCCGTCATATGGCTGTGGCCATTTAGAAACAACATTTCTGAAGCAGCATCAAAGCTGCTTTTTCTCTTTTCCTTCCATTCTGCTTCATTAGTAAATTCCAGATTTACAAGTGCCAGTTGTCGGACGTAGTCTGCTGCTAATTTCCTACTGAGTGACAACCAATCAGCATGATTTCAACACAAGTACCCCTCAGCAACACTAAAGCCTATTTCATACTGAAAGCATCAGCGGCGCGCAATGGCAGCGGAGCTTCGCTGCATCAAATAGAATCCATTATAGTCTATGGCGTGCTTCAAACCGGCCGCGGCGTGGCAGTTTTCAGGCGCGTCCCAGAAGCAGCACACCGCGCCTCGCCACTAAAGATAGGACTGCGCCCGGTAAAATAGAGATGCGCACATATCGGTGAGGTTACCTGGAAGTTCTAGTAGTAGAAACAGGCCTATTGTTCCGCCGCTCTACCACTAAAGGCTCTGGATACTTGTGATTGAAGTCTAGCTCAACCGTTCCTACTGTGTTGGCCATTACTGAGCATTTATCAGTTTGCTAATGTTTTTTTTTTTTTTTTTTTTTTCAGTCAAAAGCTTGTAGCAATGATGAAAAGAAGTTCCAACAGCATATCCAGAATCAGCTCAAGAAAGAACTCAACAGCTTTCTGGAGTCCCAGAAACGGGAATACAAACTTCGCAAGGAGCAGCTGAAAGAGGTTAGAGGCTTGAACGACAAATAAACCTCAGAGAATTACAAATGTAGTTGTACTTATTGACCTGAAGTCCTCCTCCTCTTCAGGAGCTGAATGAAAACCAGTCAACACCCAAAAAGGAAAAACAGGAGTGGTTGTCCAAGCAGAAAGAGAACTTCCAACACTTCCAGGCTGAGGAGGAAGCCAACTTACAGCGCAGACAGAGGCAGTACCTGGAGCTAGAGTCTCGCAGGTTCAAAAGGAGGATCTTAACCGCCCGTCACTCCACTGAACGGGACCTAGTGAGAGAGGTCAGGACTTATAAATACAGTTTTATTTCTTCACAAGCTGAATATTCAATTCAAAGATACTTTATTAATCCCAGAGGGAAAAGGATGTCTTAGTCTACAGTTGACAGGTAACGTTACTTTAATTCCTGCTGAAGTCTCCATGTGCTCATCATTAGGAGTTAAACAAGCGTCAAACCCAGAAGGACCTGGAGCACGCCATGCTTCTTCGACACCATGAGTCTATGCAAGAGCTGGAGCTCCGTCATCTCAACACCATCCAAAAGACGAGAAACGAGCTGATCCGCACGCAGCACCAGACAGAGCTCACCAATCAGCAGGAGTACAACAAGAGGACAGAGAGGGAACTCAGACGCAAACATGCCATGGAGGTTCGCCAGCAGCCCAAGAGCCTCAAGGTTCGCTTCTGATGTCTGATGACTTCAAATGTTCTTTTGATGGGCATCACTACTTTTCTATGTAACACCTTTTCTCTGCTGCTTAGTCAAAAGAGCTACAGATCAAGAAGCAGTTCCAGGACACGTGTAAGATCCAGACCAGGCAGTATAAAGCACTGAGAAACCACCTTCTGGAGACCACGCCAAAGTCCGAGCACAAAGCCATCCTTAAACGGCTGAAGCAGGAGCAGCACCGCAAGCTCGCCATTTTGGCTGAGCAATACGATCATTCCATCAACGAGATGCTTTCCACTCAGGCGGTGAGTTTAGTAATGCCCTAGCAGTCAAATTAAGAACACACCATGCCCCCTAAGGAGAAAAATTAATGTCCTTAAACATATTTTACACCCGTTTCCTTTATTTTTTCTCAGCTACGCCTGGATGAAACTCAGGAATCTCAGTGCCAAGCCTTACGAATGCAGCTGCAGCAGGAGCTGGAGCTTCTGAATGCCTACCAGAGCAAGATCAAGATGCAGACAGATGCTCAGCATGAGCGTGAGAAGAAGCACCTGGAGCAAAGGGTGTTACTCCGACGAGCACTACTAGAGCAAAAGGTTCTCCTCTCCATATATTCTTCTCGTGTTGGCTTGTCCCGATGTCTGAATACGTCCGTTCCTCGGTTACTCATGACAGTTGTTTTGTTTTTGTAGATTGAGGAGGAAATGCAGACTTTACAGAATGGACGGCAGGAGCGAATCCGGAGCCTGCTGGAGCGCCAAGCCCGAGAAGTCGAAGCTTTTGATTCAGAAAGCCTGCGCCTGGGGTTCAGCAACATGGTGCTATCAAACATCTCCCCCGAGGCGCTCAACAACAGCTTTCCCGGGGCTTCGGGGTATCCCAGTCACTATCAGCAACTGCACTCGTCCATTAGCTCCCAAGGGTCCCGCTGGGGGGGCAGCCGCAGTTCGAGTTTAGGCCCGAGTCACCAGGGCAGCCATCACCACTATCACTCCAGTCAAGGAGGAGCACCTATGCAGCATAACTGGGGGCAGGGCATGCATGGTGGAGGGGGTCCGCCTCCTTGGGGCCACCAGTCTGCTGGATCTCGCAGCAGCGGCAGTATACAGAACAGCCCCCAAGTGATGGGTATGACACCCACGGGAGGGCACAGTGAGCAGGGTATGAGTAGGAGCACCAGTGTCACCTCTCAGATCTCCAATGGGTCACACCTCTCCTACACTTAGACCCCCCCCCCCTCCCTCCTGCAACACTACACCTGTACAGATGTGTGATGAAACAAATGTTGCTCAGGTCAAAAGGGCTGGGAGAGGCATGGCCTGTCCTCACAGCAGTTTATCGGCACACACACACAGATTCTTACTCGTATGTTACAGAAGCGGTCTGAGTGTCAGCATCCCATGTGTTTTTATTCACAGTTCTCTCCTACGGAGAATATTCTTTTGTAAAATCATAAGTTAGCTCTAATCACAGCCATTGCTCTCATGTTGCACAGAAAACGCTGTTTAATGTTAACCATGCCTCTAGAAAAGTAGCTTCAAGCGCTCTCATTTAGCAGGTTTTGCTTCAGGATCTTTTCTTTTTAACTTCCATTCACATTTAGTGACGCACTGGCCAAATTTCTGTGGTACGGTGGAAGACTCCTCAGAGTTACCTGAGGATGCTTAGCTGTCTACCAGCCTGCTGTAACGCTCATCCATGGTCAGTGGGATCATTTCCACGCATCCTTTTTACTGTTTACTTTTTCTTTTTAACTGAAACCAACCAAAATGGGACTTTTCCGGATCCAGAACCAAAACAAATTGTTTCAGATGAATGCTTCTACTAATATTGTGCCTTTTTTTTTTTTTTAAAGCTTTGACACCGTTCAGTTTCAGATTTCACCATAGGTTATTTATGGTTTTCAGTTCAGGTCAGGTTGGAGTTTTAATTCTAAACTTCCAAGAATTGTATATCCCTGAGACGGACTAATGTCACTACACGTTCAAGTGGAATTGTGGGAAAATCTGAACCTTAGTTTGCCTTGAAGTACAATCCCAGTGCTTGTCTTTATTTAGTGCCTTTTTAAACTGCTGCCTTTTTAAAGCACTTTATACAGCTTAATGCTTTTAGAAGTTATATTTGACATTTTTCCCCCCCCCCCAAAGCTTCTGGTTGAGGAATGTTTCATCGGTACATCGATAGACGAGTCAAACTTACATGTGCTGTGACTTTTTTCTTTCTAGGAGCAAATTCCCAAGTAGAGACCAGAAACTTGTGCATGTTGGCATACAGTATGTAAGAGAATCTTTTTTTTTTTACAGCTTTTATTGTGCTTTGTGGCACTAGCTGTTCTGGGTTGTTTACCTGTTGATGTCTGATTGAACAGCGTGCTAAAGGATGCTGCAATGTTCTCGTGTAATGTTTTGGTTACAGTTTCTATAAAACAAGCTGAACAAAGTTAAAGAGGAGTCCTTGATGTGCAGGAAGTGGTAGCGACCGTGAAGAAGAGGTGTTTCACTACTGAACTAAAACACTGATCATGAAAAAAGGTTCAGGACCAAATAAGTTAAAATCCAAAAAGGTGCCAAGTTAAAACTCATACAATCTCATCCGAACAAAAATAAAAGTTCTATTTAATTACAATTGGTAGTGTAGTTGAGTAATGATAAATTTGAGCAAATGCAAAAAAAAAAAAAAAGTTTCCAATATAACAAACATTTTTTTCTGATTATTTTAGTTTTTTTCTCTGCAGTTTTTAATTCGATCTCAGATAAAGGTGTTCCAGAGGCCTTCAGAAATAATTTACTACAACAAATAACAGATAGAAAAGACTTCTTTTGCTCCCCATATCTCAAAGCTGAAGTACTTTTGATTTAATTAAAGAACAAGATACAAAATAAGCCCATTATCCAACTCTGTCCTTTACGTGGTATTGAGTTGTGCACGGAGGTATTTGAGCACCAGAAAAATGATTCACTCTTGCGTTTGCTGCCATCCTGTTTAAATGTTCATGTAGTCAGCAGATCATTTCCTCTGCAGGAGATGTTCTCCAGTGCAGCCCCCCCACCCCAACTACCTAGTTAAATTTTTTTACTTTGGGTCCCAGTACTCTGACTTGATTCCAATGACTATCCAAGTGTATTCATTTCCTTTAGGATGTATGTGTGGTTGGTAAAAATAAGGATGTACTTCTTATCGGAGGTTCACCAAGAGTCAAAAGCCAATACCCAGAGTTTGAATGTTAGGCCACTTCAACCTCCCTGACATGCCAACCTTTAGGTTTATATCGAGTTTGACTCACTTTTACGTCACTTGTGTTGGAGTCTAAATAATATTGTTGGTCAGAGGATATCACCAACCTTTATGTCATTTTATGGGTTTTCTTTCTATTAGTTACAAGTAACTTTTGCCAGTTTTTGCTCTACTGACTGAAAGTGAGCAGGATACTAGATGTGAAACGGCAACAAAACAACGACTGATGGTCAAACACTGTGCCATACCCGAGTTGCCAAGCCCAGACATCAACGCAACTGTTTTCTCTAATATTTCACCTGTTCTTAGGCTAATGACGTGAAATGTATGAAACACAAAGACCAGTTGGCTTTGGTTTAGTGGCTGATGAAGAAAAAAGTGTGACAGGCAGATGATGAAAAGATTGCATTTCTTTGAAGACGTCAGTATTTTATTTTTTATTTTTTGGCACATTACCACTACAACCTATAACCTGTATTAAAATGTATAGATGGTGAAGATTGTTATTGAATGTCAGAGATTATGAAGATGCTACATAAAAGATGGTAATAGTACTAAAAGTGGATTTAAATTGTGTAAAAAGAAAAAAAACAGTAAAAAATAGGATCCATTTACTATATTGTTTGTATTGTATTTACCATTGTGTTGGCAGAGGGGGAGTTGAACAGAAATCAGCTGTAATAAAGTAATTTTAGTATAATATCCCTGTGTTTTTATTATTATTAGTGTACTTATTTAAGTAAAAGTAAGTGAAAAGTAAAATAAATGTGACTGTACTTCAGTATTCTCGCAGCCAAACTAGTTACTGGTATACTTAACGTGTTTAGAATAAGTGTGCCGTATTTTTTTGTCAGGGTTTTAATGGAAAATAATTTTTTTATAAGCCTCAAATGTTTTGAGGTATGTGCAGGGGAGGTTCTCTAACATATATAAAATCTTTTTTATACTTTGGTGTTTTTTTTATTTTATTTTGTGAAGCACCTAATTTTTAATCTTGAGAGGCGCTATATAAAATATAGTTTTCTTTCTTTCTAACCGTGAGGGGGGCCAGCTGCCTTTTAGAGAGGCCCGTTTGCAAGAAAACATTTTCAACAAGTTTTTTTAAAGGTCAAGTTCCTCCAGATCTACTTTTTTTTGTTGATAAACTATACATGAGTGTCTTAGTCTCCTCCCTTTCCGGACAGCTCAACAAAACAACAAAAAAAAAAAACGTTTATGATTTTAAAACGATTTTGATTCCATACAATTCATGATGCGATTTGAAATAATTCAACATATTAAAAAGAATTTACAAGTCCACATCTTGTTTTAAACATCACAATGTACTTCCCTATCGGATGTATTTGATCCTCTAGTTTTCAATTAATAAATTCAACATGTAAAGACAATGTACTTCATTAGTGATATTTACACATTACACATTTTTATAGCTACAATACTGTGCCGAAATAGGAGGGTTCAAATGAGATTTAGATCGTCCCTGCTCGGAAAAATCAACAGAAAGTGAAAATTGTTCTGGAACTGCGCTGCTCTGGGTGGCTGCATGTTGGAGTAGCTCTGTTCACTATATGTAAGTTTTGCCTTTTTTGGACATTTTTTTCTTCTAGTTTCTCAAGAAAAACTTTTTTTTTGACATTTTACTTTTCTGTTTCTGGTGCTGTGAAGCTTGAAGGATTTTTACTGCAATTTTTTCACTTTTTGAGCATTTGTCATGATGCGTAACCATGATAACAAGCTGGTTTACAATCGGGAGCAGCTGATTAACATTGGAAAGGCTGAAATAATACCTCAACTGAAGCCACAAATCCCAAATGAGCTAAAATGCAAGGAGCGTGGATGCAGAGCGGGAGCAAAACGGAGACAGAGAAAGAGGAAATTCAAACCATCTCTTCCATCGATCATAATGGGCAATGATAAATCAGGTGCTGGTCAGCATCAGAAGCAGGGACCTGAAAAGGCTCAACAGCCTAATAAAAAAGGCTGGTTCTCTTCTGGGGACGACTGTGGAACCACTGGAGGAGATAATGCAAAGAAGGATTCTCCAGAGAATCAAGAAAATGATGGACAACCCTGAGCGTTCTCTTCACAAGACTGTTCGACAACGGAAGAGTGTCTTCAGTCAGAGGCTTCTTCAGTTTCGCTGCAACACTGACCGCTACAGGAGATCCTTCCTGCCAACAGCCATTGTAATATACAATAACTCTTTGATGACTTGATTATTATTATTATTCTGAGCTACTACAGCAATCAATTTCCCTCTGGGATTAACTGGGACGTAATTTTGGGGGGGGGACGGGTGGGACATGTCCCCCCCCCACTTTTTCAAAAGGCAGTTTTGGTCCCCTGCACTTTTTTCCGTCCAAAAACAATGTTACCCTCCTTTAAATGGATTTGGTTGAGCACTAGGACCGAAACGGAAACCGCTTTACTATTAGACCCGCCCAAAAGCTAATCTATTGGCTCTGCTGATACTTGCTAACGTATTATTGGCTGTTGCTGCTGTCACTCAAGTTGTAAACAGTCAGAACGTGCTCACGTTGTTTTGCTAGTTTGGAGCCGCTGGGGAACACCAGTACTGAGTCACATCGTCAACTAGACGCTGTGTAATATCAGAGCTCAGCTCAGCTTCCATTACATAACATTTGAATAAGTGTTCATTTGTGAGTCTTTGGTAGTTAGGCACAGCCAGGAGGCAGCATGTCAAGAAAACGAAAAGTGGATATAAGAGACTTCTTTCAAAGTCAAAACGTAAGTTGGAACATGTGACACCCCTGCATTAAGCTCAGACTCACCTCCTCCTTCACAAACATACTCAAAATTAACTTTTACAAACTAATCTCCTCCACATAACTGACTCCTCAGACACAATTTATTCGTATTATAATTATTATTTTTTTATTACTATTATCATCATAATTATTATTACTAGTAGTGGTAGTAGTAGTAGAAGTGTAACTTCAAAACTTTTATCATTTAACTTTATTGTAAACTTATCTATTGCAATGTATATTTTCACATTAAAAAGCTCTGAAAAATGAACAGTATCATCATCGTCAACAGATTTTTTTAAGCTTAATGTCAAAGATGTACACTTTTCATTAGATTTATCTTATTTTTTCCATTTATTTTTTGTGTGTTGAAATGCAACAACTGTTTAAACACTTTTAAGGGAAAAAACATATTTAATATGTTTTTATACACTCAAATGTTAGGGTGATGATCATGTGTAAAACATTAGTTCAGCATGTCCTCTAACACAGCAAATGAACAAACGGCCAGATCTCAGGAGGACCGTTTATGTATAAATAATTTTTATACTTTTGACTAGGCCTGGGAAAGTAACAAATTTTGCTGGACGATATTTTGTCCAACAAATTGTTGATGATAAACGATATTGTCAACATTATCTAGACCAAAATAACCACTAATATAATGTTAATATATCATAATAATGCAAGTACACCCTTTAAAATGCAACAAAGAAACCTTCATTTAACATTGAAATGTCCAGAACCAGAACTTCTAAATGAATAAAAATAACAAACAAAAATTAAATAAAAAAGGAATCTCACTCCCTGTTAGAAAATGTTGCACCAAAAACAATAAAAAAGACCCAAAACAATAAATACAATGGCCTATCCATTGTCAACAGCCAAAACTGCACTTCAATAATGATAATAAATAAAAATAATAATAGAGTTGTAAATTTTTTAACTTATATATATATATATATATATATATATATATATATATATATATATATATATATATATATATTGAGGATGGAAAAATTATTGAGATGGGCACGTGACGTGTCAAGGGGTCTTTACATAACACCCCCACCCCAAATCCGCACAAGCCTGCTGTGTCCCCCCCACTTCTGAAATCAAAATTTCATCCCTGGGGATTAATAAAGTATTTTTGAATTGAATTGAATTAGGGTTCATCTTATAATTATTAGGAATTATTACAAAACACCATAAACATTTGAAAATATTTCTAAATATTGTAATGATCCGTAAGTTGTTGTAGCATAATGTTACTGTTCCATGGACATATACATATATGGACAATGGGTTTCCATAGGCTCCAATAACACATTTTTGAGGAGAAATGGGAGGTGGCCACCACCGCCATTTTGACCGTGTCACAGGTTCCATCAAGCCCAGACAATTCTACAAAAGGGAAGAGAGGTGGTGCTGAGGGTGGGGCTGTAAGGCTGGGATCAACTGATGACACCCGGTTGAACTAGCTACAAGCTAACCCGAAGCTAATGCAGAGGTGGGAGCTAAGCTAATGGAGGTAGCAACCTAGCTACAACCGGAGTTTGTGCACAACACCAGAGCTTCTGAGTCAGAGATACGCCGGGCTGACCGCTGGGTAAAACCGGGTGGAACACAGAGGTCTCCGAGAGCTCCACAAGCCGGCAGCCGCACAGCAGACAAGCACCGCTGTGATCTGAGATGCGCAGAGCTGCCGCTGGGGAGAACCGGGTGGAAAGCTCTCCATCCCAGAGCTCCACAAGCCAGCAGCCCGCGCAGCAGACAGAGATGCGCCGAGCTGCGGGGAGGGGGGAACGGGTGGAAAACATCGGTCTCCCGAGAGCTCCACAAGCCGATAGTCGGAACCCAGCTCCACCAACATGTTATATTTCAACCCATTTTCTAAAATGCAGCATTATGTTAAATGCACTGGGTTTTAGCCTATTACATTTAAATTTCATGGTTAAACAGTACATGTTAAAATCTAAGCTCAGCTCGGCAGTGACCTAAAATACATAAATATAATTTTACTTACTGAAAAAAATGAAGTGGAGACTCCTTGGATGCTCTATTGGTGCAATTAATGACACAGCAAGTCATTTTGTCCAACAATTGCACAAAAAATATCCAAAAAAGAATACACAAACACAGAGACTCAAAATCCCGGAACAGTTTCCAGGCCAGACCGAGGCTCTACTGAGGCCTTTCCACGGAGCTAGCTCTGTGGTCACGTGGGTCTGATGCTCATTAATTATACAGAATTTTAGGATTTTAATACACTTAAACAGAAGAGTGAGAAAAAAATTCACCCCCCTCAGAGTTGTCATGAGTGTAAACTAGATCATTTAAACCAAAAACATCTTTTGGTACCAGGCTGTAAACATGTTTATTTCTGCTGTGAAATTGGTATTTTTAACATGGGAGTCAATGAGGATTTGCTCGATTCTGACACCAGCCCCCAGCGGATGAGGGTGGAACTGCAATTTTGGTACTTCCAGGATATTGCTTCAATTTTTGAGCCGCATTGTTCTCGCTCGCCTTTTTCCTCCTCCTCATTCCCTCTCGTCTCCCTCCTCCCACATGTGCTCTGCTATGTGTCTGTCGGAGTATGATCGTCCCTCTTCCCCGCCCCTACTGCTCTGTGTGTGGACAGTCTGGACACACAGTTACACATGTTGACCAATCGCCTGTGGCTTTCACCGGGGCAGGGGGGAGGGGAAGGGACGGCTCCCAACGACGAGCCGGCTCCCGTCGTTCACCTCAAAGAGCCGGCTCTTAGAGCTGGTTCGTTCGCGACCCACACATCACTACTTGGTTGTATCCAATGCACACTGAAGCTTCCAGTGATCACGCGTGTGCTTAACGGCGAAACTCCGAGAGGGTCTTTCCGTGAGGGTGGGGTTGAGCGGGGTTGCTGTCAGTCACTGTCTCAGATCATCTCTCTTGGTTCGCCTAGCAATGCCTTCTTTAAGCAGATTTTTCAAACAGGAAGTTTGGATGGAGTAATGATAAATGACCCTCACTATAGTGCCTTTCAGAGTCAGAGGACTACAAAGTGCTTCACTCTACAGTGTATCACTCATTCATTCACACGCTGGTGATGATGAGCTACGATGTAGCCACAGCTGCCCTGGGGCGCACTGACAGAGGCGAGGCTGCCGAGCACAGGCGCCACCGGTCCCTCCGACCACCACCAGCAGGCATGGCGGGTTAGGTTTATGTTTATTCATTTAGCGGACACTTTTATCCTAAGCGACTTACAATTTATAACCTATAGGGCATGTTGTGATCTGCCCAAGGACACAACAGCAGAATTATCTGTCCAGAGCTGGGATTGAATCTGCAACCTTCCGATTACTGGACATCCTCTTCAACCTGTTGAGTTACTGCTGCCCCAAGTTATGGTGGTAATGGTAAAGTAATGGTGCGTTTGATTTGTCCTCGGAACTCGGAAATCCCGAGCTCCGAGTAGGAGACATCAAATGAAATGCCACCCAAAGTCGGACCTCCCAGCCAGAAACTCAGAAGAATTTCAGAACTCGAAATCCAAAATTGCACCTCACCGTATAACAACAACTTTTGGGTGAAATGTTTTTATTTTACTAAACACACTAAAGAAGAGTGCGTTTAAAACCAGTGTTACATGTAGTGCTTGCAACTCTAAGCTGAACATACTAAACGTTTTGTTAGTTTTGCATGTTATGGTGAGAAATCTGTCTAATAATCGCTGTCGCTCGGACGAGGACCAATCAACGGAGGTTTTATTCACTGACCAATGAGCGGGCAGGATGCTCCGTACATCTCCGAGCAAACATGGAGGAGAAGCTGATTGTTGCTGTGACGGACTTCCCCGAACTTTACAATACCGCTGCGAAAGAATATAGAGATATTCACAAAAAGGCCGCGGCATGGGAACTTGTTGGTGCCAGAATTAACACATCAGGTAAGTGTACTTTACGACCGCTAAAGGGTTTTGTAAGTTTATCTAGTGCAATAGCAAACCTAACGAAACACGTTTATGCATGTACAATCTAATCACTTAAAACGTCATTCTTTTTTGGGTGACAAACAATATTATCAATAATTGCTTTTCTAACGTTTTTTTTAAATGCAACAAATTTATTGGATTGCTTTATTGGTTGTGAAACATTTCTTTTACATTTTATTAGGATGATCATATTTTTACTTTCAAGGGCTCTTGGCCCAGGACTGAAACACTTCCAACTGTACTCCGTTTAGTTAAAGAAAACTTTCCTTTCAACATATTTAAAGTCTTATTTCTGAATTTTGTGAAAAATAAATGCTCCCTGGATTCATTAAAAAAATGATCAGAAAGAAAAGTGGAAGTGTTCTGAGAAAAGAGGGCATGTGGTCATCATAATTTCAAACTATGTCATGCTGCCAGGGCACTTCTCCAGCTGGTGAGGAGAAGTAATCACAGAATTTGTCTCTTATTCTATAAGCCTCTCTGCTTGAGTTGTTGGATCCAGTGTGAGGGATGGGCTGCAAACCATCATTTGTTGTCATGTTGTCAGTGGGTGATGCTTGAGGTATAGCTCTGTCAACCTCACCATTTTTCCGCATGTAGTTTTGAAGAACACAGGTGGCCTTCACAATCAGAATCAGAATCAGAAGTTTTTATTGCCATATGTGTGCCAAGTCACAACATTAGGAAATTGCTGCGGTATTTTGGTGCAGAAGGTAAGAGAAAAAAAATTAATTAAGAGATAAGCAAATATAAGAACTAATAAAACACTCATGATAAAATTATTAATGTAAAAAGTGGCAGGAATTAGAGAAGCAGCTATCTACTCCGTGTAGGTATTAATCTGAGTATTTGTTGAATGGTTCAAGCACAGCATCGGGTCACGTGACTGGGACCAATCAACTTGAGTGGGCTGCCCTAGGATTTTCCTTCAAAAGTCCAACTGCAGAGGGGAAGAAACTGTTTTTGTGGCAAGAGGTTCTGGTCCGAATGGATCTGAGCCTTCTGCCCGATGGGAGCGAGTCGAATAGACTGTGTCCAGGGTGAGACGAGTCAGCTACTATCCGACCTGCACACCTCAATGTCCTAGAGGGGTACGGATCTTGAATGGAGGGGAGTTTGCAGCCAATGACCTTCTCTGCAGAGCGCACGACACGCTGCAGCCTCTTCTTGTCCCTGGTGGTAGCTCCAGCGTACCACACGGTGATTGAGGAGGTGAGGATGGACTCGATAGTGGTGTAGAATTGCCTCATTGACTGTGGTGATATACGGTCGGCTTTCTTTGGGCAGATACCCACAACATGTCGATACACACGCCACTGTGCAGAAAGGATGCCAAATGCATTTTCTACTATTCTTCTGGCGCGAGACAGGCGGTAGTTGTGGCATCTCTTGTTTCTCTCTAGATTTTTACCTGGATATGGTCTCATAATGTGGCGTTGAAGGGGGAATGCTTCATCTGCCACCAGTACGTGTGGCATTGGACCCAGGTGCTCTGAGCCTTGTAGTGTGGTGTCTTCAGGTACGCTCAGTGTCCCAGCCTTTAAGTGTTTCCCCAGGGGAGACTCTGACAGTATGCCCCCGTCACTGTTTCTCCCATAACCACCCACATCAATAACTCTAAACATATAATGAGCATCTACCACAGCTAGAAGGACAATAGAGTGGCTGCCTTTGTAGTTGTAATATTTAGAGCCAGAAGATGGAGGCGCTTGCAACACAACATGCTTTCCGTCAGGAGCACCTATACAGTTTGGAAAGTTCCATCGTTCTCTGAAACCCTCTTCAGTGGCGTTCCAATCTTCCATTGTTGGCTCTGGCATGTATTCAGGCTGCAGCACATCCCAAATGGCCTGTGAGACATCATCGCCCGCTATTTCTCCAACTGTTGAGCGCCCCACACGGTAGTTGAAACGGAGAAGGAGTCTCCTGTTGCAAGAAATCTGAAAAAGGAAAAATGACATCAGTGTTTGTTTGTAATATGGTTATTAACATTTTTTGTATTGGTAACATTATATCAGACTTGTACTTCAATTTTAAAGTAAAATATTGATAAGATTATGCATTTTATTCTGGTTTTGCAGGTGAAAAGGCCAAAAAGCGGTGGAAAAATCTAAGAGACACATACATGCGAGTCTGCAAATCTCTGAAAGAAAGAAAGAGTGGTTCAGCTGCTGGCGGGCAGAAGACTTGGAAGTACTATCAGATCATGTCCTTCCTGGAGCCACACCTCAAAGAGCGAGTCACAAGTGGAAACCTAACAGCAGATGACCTCCAGCAAGAAGAGGAGATCATATCGACTCTGGAACCAGCACTAGAGGAGGAAGATAGCTCCAGTGTTTTTTCACACAACCCTGATATGGTCAGTGACACCAGTAGTCCATTCTCACTTGACCAGTCATTCCAGCAGCCATCTTCAATTCAACAAACACACCAGTCAGCTCATGGAAAACGAAAGCGGCCTGCTGACAGCTTTGAAGCAACCATCCTCAACAGGTTGGACAACATTCAAGCCCAGCTGAAGCAGGGTGATGAGGATGAACTGTACCTTCAGAGCCTTTTGCCAACATTCAGGCGTCTGACAGGAGCTAGAAAATCTATGGCCAAGGTGGAGATCATGAAAGTGCTCCACAAAATTGAATTTGGAGAGGAGTGACATTTCTACAAGTTTATTTTTTTTGTAGTTCACCTGTTCTACACACAGCATAGTCTGTGTATGTTTGTTCTTTAATACAGACCCAGAGGGCAGTTATTTGTTATTTAATTTTAATTTAATATATTGCAGCAAAGCACATTTTAGGCACTGCAGATTATATACTATAATTTTCTTTGTTGTTGCCTACCTCGTTTCGTTCAAGTCGAGCGCTGTGAGTTTTAATAAAAACTTTTCTACTTTCTATATGTTGTGATACATTATGAACATTACAAATGACTACTTCACACAGTGTCATGGGGCTATTGTAAACACGTGAAAAATAATTTTAAAAAGCCCAGCGCTTTGGGCTTCCTGACAGGGTTGCGGAAGGCGCTTTATAAATAAAGCTTTGATTGATTGATTGAATTATGGTAATAAGAAAACACACTCACCTAAAGGATTATTTGGAACACCATACTAATATTGAACAGATGTTCCTAATAGTCCTTTAGGTGAGTGTATATGAAAATATAATTACTGTATCATATTAACTCACCTTGGACAGATGGCAAGTTGTTCTTCTGGGCTTATTGGTTCTCTCATGTTTGTGTGAATCTTCTCTATCTTTGGGGTTACCAGGGTGAGAAGATGGGCAAATAGCTCTGGGCTGAGGCGAAAGTAGGTCCGGGATTTATCAGGGTCGTCCTTGAGGTCCCTCATTAAATGATGGTATTCTCCGTTTCTTTCTCTGGTTTTTATTATGGGATTAACCCATTCTCGGGTTTTTTTTATATAGTAAAATCAAAAGGGAGATTTCACACAGCTCTAGCAGCACCTTGTGAAACATCACATCTACCGCTTTTTTACTCTGAACCACTTAAATAACCTTAATTCCCTCCAACCTGAAACAGCCAATCAAAACAACGGAAGATTCGATTTTCGTCAACGGCTTTGCCGCTGCCGCGGGTCGCCTCCCGTGTGTCAGGTAATAAAAGTGACGGCGACAAATTTCGCTGATCGCGGTCGGTTGTCGCCTCCCGTGTGTCGAGCCCATAAGATCTGAGCTGGTAAAAACAAAAATGAAAATCCTCATCAGCAGGCTTTTTTGAAAGTGGGGGGGACGCAGCTGCCAATCACAAATTTTGCCGGGGACATGTCCCCAGCGTCCCCGGTTAAAATGACGCCTATGACCAGATCGCACCACAAGATCCGGTCAGGGGGTGACTTGTACTTAAGGGTTGGTCAATCCCTGGGTGGAGTCACACTCTGGCACATTACTTGCATTCACTTGGAAAATTTTGGAAAATATCTTTGTTTCAACATTTCTTCTCAGCACTCAAATTTGTTTTTTCTGACATTTTGACTGCTCCTTACGCACCCTCTTTTTTTAGTTTAGTTTAAATTCTAATCTGATATATCCATATAAATATTAATTGTGAGTCTATAACATGTCAGGTTCTGTGGTCACAGGTGTGAACAAAATAAATTTCTTTCACTGTAATGAAAAGCAAGCGTTGATGACTGCTGTGCAAAACTAAAAAAATTGTTCTATTCAAGCCTCAATGTTGTCTGTAGTGATTGATTCATTGTTTTTGGATTTTATATTTGAAGTGCAGTCACCGTGGTCGCTGGGACGACGTACGGTGGCTTTGCCAGCTTGTACTTTTTCTGGTGGCTTTGCCAGCTTGCACTTTTTCTGGCTTTATTAAACTAGTAAATATAATAAATTAACCGAGGAATAAAATTAAAGCCCAAAGAAATCAAGATGGAAACAAATTAAGCCTTAAAAATTAGAACATAGTAGAATAATTTAACAAGAACAAAAACAAGTTGACAACATCCGGTCAGCCGGTGTTGCGGGAGCGCGCGCAGCATGCGCGCAGCTGTCTCTCGAGCGGCACGTGCCTTCCTAATAACCAATCGGGTGAGCCCAGCCAGTAATAAGCGGAAGTCTGCCTGATGTGCATTGTGACGAGCTTTGTAAACAAAATTGAAGAAGGTCCTGAGTAAGTACACATGTTAAAAGTACAGTTTCTACGTTTTTAGCCATCATTGTTGACGTCCGGCTTGGTATTGCGGGGATTCCGTTTGACCCATTTAACCAATCACGTTGTCTATTCTGTTTTTATTGACTTCTCCCCTCACAGAACTTCAAGATGTTGAGTGAGATCTTTCTTTCGTCGCTATGGTTCCTGTTTGTCATCTTCTGGGTCGAGACAATAAACGTATGGTTGTTTCTGTCCATGTTTTACCAGGATCAGGTGTTTTACCACTGGAGAGATGGGTAAGACGTGGTTTCATTTGCTTTGTACACATCCTGCAAATAAAAATGGATTCATATAAGTGAAAGTAAAATAGCATGCAATGAAAGTTTTATTTCCTTTGTATTTATTTGATGTTACAGGGTGGTCGCAGATGATCCTGGAGAGATGATGTACATGTTGAGCAGGCATGCAATCTTTTGATTAACTGCGTTTAGGTCTGATTTTGATAAGGTTGTTGCATGCACGTTTTAATTTTGTTCCTTTCTGCAGACTTGACAGCCCTGTACAGACAGAGATTCAGACTTGAACTTGGACCAACAAGTTCATGCAGGGATGCTGCAGTTGTTTTGACTGAAGAAAAGATAAAGAAAACCAGCCACTCCTCTTCTTTTGCATGTCACAATAACATGCACAACCCACTTTGAATAACAAATGAAGAGGTGCATTTTTGGTGAAGTGCAATTTTCATCCAAAAGCTTTATACATCTTTTCCATAGCTGCAAACCTGTATTGCCAGATTTTGGAAGAGCCAAGTTGAAAATGCAGAGTGAATCTGTGTGTTTTTGTTTTTAAAACTTCTAAACTACATACAATTTTTTCCACTAAAATGATTCTATGCAATTATTACTTGCTCTCAGTATTATAAATATTTTTCATTTTAGATAACAGGTTACAGTAAATCTGTTCAACTGAACACGTGTCTGTTTATTTACAGCAATAAGATCAGGTTGTGTATTACAACTTCTAACACTAAGCTATTTTTGAGTATTAAATATGACAGAATACTTTGTTGATGATTTTTCTATGTTTTATATATTCTGCATTCTCTAATTATTTGATCGACTTTTATGAATAGCAATGAAAACATTTTCACATTTGTCAATCCCTAATTTTTCCACACATTTCTATTACATGTTGTTGAACTTTATTTTCGTTGTACAAGGATATTGCTCTGTTTAATTGCTTATTCAATTTTACTGATATAATTGCGTGTATTATATATTTTGCATTACAAATTTAAAAATATTTAGAATCTAAAACATTTCGTCTGTTAGTATTTTCCATTTTTTATTGAGAACATTCGATTTAGGCCTGTTTTCATATACTTGAATGTCTATTGTTTGAATTTACTAAATAAAATGAATTATTAAGTTGAAGTTGTTTATTTTTTCCCATCTAAACAGTATTTTTTACATGGATATTCTCCTCCAAGACGGAAGGTGGCGCTCTTAAGCTAATCCTTAAATCACCCGGATGTGTTTTGCCGTAGGCTCAACAAAAATGTGTTGTCTGTTGTTTTTTGTGTAGATTTGGCTTCCGTGCGTTATAGAAATTAATTTTTCGGGTATCTACTGTCAATTCTGTGTTGATTAGTCGCTTTTAGTTGGGAGCGGTTTCTCTAAAACATGGCTCCTACGATTCAGACACAAGCTCAACGGGAGGACGGTCACAGGTACGTTTATTAATTTTTAAGTTATTTAGTTGTGTATACTTGTCAATTTATATACATGTTTACGTAAATGTACGTGGAGTAAAATGGCTCGTAAGTTCCTAAGTCAATTAATCTGGTTAATATTTGTTTTCTTTAATAGTAACAAAATCGCCAAAATAAACTAAAGTAGTTTATGCTAGCCTCTTGAGCTAATGTGCTTACTGGTGTAAACGAGTGTGCACGTTTTTAATTACTGCTTTGAGTAAATATTTTTACTAACACAGTGAATTATAATTTAATGCTTTATATCATTCAAAAAACTTAAGGGTATAAAAAACTAAAAGTAATGTGTTAGTTGCTTGTTTTTGCACTCGAACATACTATTGCACACTTTTACACGTTTTGTCTGATGTTTATTATAAAAGAGTCTTAGAAACTAAAAGTTTATATATATATTTTTGCCATAAAAACTTGAAACAAAGTTTCAGGTTTATAATTACTCAGGGATTGTTTAGATCGGACCATACTTTGGGTTGTGATGCATTGTAAAAAGTGTTTTTTTAGCCCTCCCAATTTTATTTGCACCTTAAACACTTCCACCACCGACATTCCACGCAAACACACACTTTACCACTTTACCTTCAAATCTCCGTCTCTCTAACACTGTAGAGGTCTTTAAAAATCATCTAAAAACTCACCTTTTCATCCAGGCGTTCCCTCCCTAAATGTTCAAAAAGATGGCTTTGTTCGGGTTCACACCTTCACTTTGTTTATACTCATGATTTTATCACTGCTATTGTTTTTCTGATGTTTTTATTGGTTAGAGGTATTTGCCCTGATCTTTATCATGTTGTACAGCGCTTTGGGATTTATATCTGTGAAAGGCGCTATATAAATAAACTTTTACTTACTGACTTACTTACTTACTTAGGGCCTTGGGAGTGAGCACATTTAACGGCATTTGGCAGGGGGATTTTTCAGTCTCATCCCGAGTGCCAGTGCCCACTTCCAATTTTAAACTGCACTTAGACACTGAGGGCTGTGGGTGCAAGTGGGGTGGTGTGGTGGCATCAGCTGGCGTAGGCCAGACGATGCCCGAACTGCCCACTCACCACAGCCATGAATACACCTCATCAACATGCGCTAACACTGTATTGGAGCAGGCGGAGGGAGACTAGGGGTCTTGGCACACCTCTGTTGTCGCTTAGCTTCCCGGGGCTGGAGGCTAGGAGGGAGGTCTGGTTGGGGTCTGGGTGGTGGGTTGCTTTGCTCAGCGTTAGGCGGGGAGCCTGCTCACCATCACCCCAACAGAAAGGGTCGAACTCTGGGAACCGGTAATGGTTGTACCCCATGTGCAGCAGTACCGGGACCAGAGTGAATAGGGTGTGTATGGGGAGCATGATTGGGTGTCCGGCATGAATTTTTGTAAGTCTTTGGTTGTATGTGCATGTGTGAGCATGAGGGAGGGAGTGTGTGACTGTGTCTTTGTATGACCATATATGTCAGGTGGGGCCTTTGACTCCTCCCCTCTCATGGGACTTCTTTTGATGCTATACATCTTCGTCTCCCCTCCCCCTCACACCTGATGTGGAGTGCGTTGCCTTGGTCTGCCTGAGTGTTCGTGGCTCCCGGGTCAGGGGGTTTAAGATTTTTGGCGTCTGCCTAATCAATCCCGGTGGCTGCCTGGTGGGATCTGGGTCCCTGGGCTCTGCTGGGTCCCCGGCGGCGGTGGTGGGTCCTGGGTTGCTGGGTACCGGGTTCGGCCAGCTGGGGGGTGGGAGGCTGCGGGCGGGCCTGTGGGCTTGCTGCTGATATCTCCCGGGACGCTGCTGGTTGTGGCCCTCCGGGGCAATCCACTGCGTCCCTCGAGGGGGGCAGGGGCTTTTCTGGTTGCAGTCTCCCTGGGGTCCCTGTGCTCTGGGGCAGCTCCTGGATCTCTGGGACTTGGAGCTCCCTCCAGAGATCCATGGGAAGAAAGAAAGGAGAAAAAATGTGTTTTCAAGACTGTCGGAATAAATATAAAAAATAATTATGTTTAATAGAATAGTTTTGCATTTTTGCAATATAGAAAAACAGTAGAAATCCAAACGTTTGTTTTCTTTCAGTTCTCATTGTGGCTTTTGGTGTATTTGGTTTATTATCGACGTAAATATTCTTCGGGCTGCATTCGTTGGTGTGAAAGGTCTCCACCAGTGTTATTTTGGGGGACAAAGCTAAAAGGTTGCAGTTTTCCTGGTTTCTTGGCATTTTTTAAAAACTACTTTTATTTCCCAGTAGGCCATCTTCTCACAGAACTGTTCCAGAAAGGTAAGTAAATTCAGCTCTTTTAAAATGTATATCTTACATGTCATGCATATTGATTTGACTTATCATTTTCTTTTGTCCCCATGACAGGTCGGGAATTGTCTGTCGAGTGAAGTACTGCAACAGCCTGCCAGACATCCCCTTTGACCCCAAATTCATCACATATCCATTCGATCAGCATCGGTAGTTTCACTCTCCTGCTTTCTGAGTTCGATAAATAAGGTTACAAACAGACACACACCATTTATCGATCTGCTCTGACAGGTTTGTTCAATATAAAGCTACATCTCTGGAGAAGCAGCACAAACATGAGCTCCTGACAGAACCAGACCTTGGGGTGACAATTGATCTCATTAACCCAGACACCTACCGCATAGATTCTAACGGTAAGTTTCCAGTTACAGACTCACCTTATATGTTGTTTTCTATTTAGATTATGTTACGTTAATAAAGACATTTGAATATTTAACCCTTTCAGTTCTTTTGGACCCTGCTGATGAAAAACTGTTGGAAGAAGACATCCAGGCTCCGTCCAGTTCCAAAAGGTAACTCTAAGATAAATATGGCGTTATCATTTCATATTTTTTTGTAATGTTGGGGAATGAATATGTTTATTCTACATTTTTAAGATCACAACAACATGCAAAAGTGGTGCCGTGGATGAGAAAAACAGAATACATCTCCACAGAGTTCAACAGATATGGTGTATCTAATGAAAAGGTGGAAGTCAAGTAAGTTTGATTTTCTTAGTGTGTGTTTTATATGTCTGTGTGTGTGTGTGTGTGTGTGTGTGTTAGTAGGCGTCTTTTTTTAATTATTATTTTGCATTTAGGATTGGAGTTTCTGTGAAACAGCAGTTTACAGAAGAAGAGATCTACAAGGACAGAGACAGTCAGATTTCTGCCATTGAGAAAACATTCGAGGATGCTCAGAAATCGGTAAGTTTGACGTTTGTTTAACGGCTCTGAATAATAACATTTCATGTTCTTTTATATGAAGATTATCTTCGTGGACACAGTTTGACCCTGTGTGGGTGGGATTTAACCCAGAAACCGGCTCTCTTCACCCAGGTTACAGGTTAAGAACAAGTCCAATGGAGCCCTGGCGCTCCTGCAGGGACCCAGACCTAACTCAAAGATCAGCATTCCTGATCCAGTTAACCATGGTTTTGGGAATTTTAGGAACTCACCAGGAACCCGCCACAATTATAGGGCCTGTATCATGCTATTTTACACCTCCCAAAGCAACGGCTGACGCTTTATATGATAAAATATTACTGTTGGCATTACTGAGATGTAATTTTTTATAAATATGTTATTTTTTGTGAGATATACCTTTAACCCAGAAATAAGCTGCTTGGATTTGATGAAACCCAGCTTCTATCTGTGTTAATTCCACAATAGTGCACGGCTGCAGACCCAAAGACTAGCAGCAGTAGCTCAGGAGGTAATAATAAATAATGCATAGAACTCATATAGCGCTTTTCTAGACACCCAAAGACGCTTTCACACACTCTCACATTCACACACTGCTAGTGATGGTAAGCTACTTGTAGCCACAGCCGCCCTGGGGAAGTCTGACAGAGGCGAGGCTGCCATTTGGCGCCGTCGGCCCCTCTGACCACCACTAACACAGGCAAGTTGGGTGAAGTGTCTTGCCCAAGGACACAACAGCAGGAAACCCCTGGCGGGATCTGGAATCGAACCCATGACCCTCCGATCATGAGGCAACCCGCTCTACCACCTGACCTACTGCTGCCCCACGGGTAGAACGGGTTGTCCAGTAACCAGAAGGTTGCAGGACAAATTCCGGCTCCCTGCAGCGAATTCTGCTGTCGTGTCCTTTGCTCAAGACACTTCACACTCCTAGCCTACTGGTGGTGGTCTGAGGGACCGGTGGCACTTGTGCAAGGCAGCCTCGTCTCTGTCAGTGTGCCCCAGGGCAGCTGTGGCTACACTGTAGCTTATCACCATCAGTGTGTGTATATGTTTGTGGATGACTCACTGTAGTGTAAAGCGCTTTAGAGTCCTCTGACGCTGAAAGGCGCTATACAGGTGCGGGTCATTCATCATGACCCACTCAGTGATTGCCGAGTCCCCCCCGTAGAATTCTTAAGCCTGATTCATGCTTCTCCCGTCTGCGTCAGTGCGGAGACACGCAACGTCCTTGCGGGCCTGCCGGAGAGCACCGCAAGGACGGACGGAGTAGAGCTCTCTTTTCTAAACATCCTTCAGTCGAGACGGAGAATGCAAGCTTGTGATTGGTCAGGACGCCGCTGCTGTCTACTGCGCCGCTGTTGCGCCCTCAAAAACATAAAGAGAGCCGAGGATAACAAGCGGCAGACACGGAGAAGCTTGAAGAATACCTCGCGAAAAAACTCTAAAAATATGAACGTTTAATTCCCCGTGACTGGAGGAATGAAAAGATGCGCAGCAAGCGTTTTATTTGTGGACAGAAATGACAGGAAACGTGGGTTTAGAGGTGGCGAGCGCATGAAGAGGTGGAGGAGGGTGAGAGACAAATTTGTCTGTGTTAAAAAGTCTCTTATATACAAAAAACACAAAATAAACACACTATCTTGGACCGATACATGATAGGATACCACAGAACAGTGCTACGCCCTCTGTTGTCCTGCCGGGGAATTGCTTTGCAACGCTCTCCAGGAGACGGAGAAGAATGAGAGCAAAACGCTTCCGTCAATCCGTGCGTGTCTGTCCCTTGCGGAGCTGATGGAGAAGCATGAATCAGGCTTTAGCTGGAGGGTGACACATACAGAGCTGGGGTGAATCGGTCCCAGTTTTTCTCTGATAACCTTTCAGCTAGCAGTTAGCATTTTGGTATTACCTACATGACTCTCCACCAGGTGGTTTCAACGTTGGAATGAAAGACACAAAATCTTTTTCTATAGCGCCTCTCAAGATAAAAATCACAAGGCGCTTCACAAAAACAAAGAATTTAAAATATAAAAAGATTTGGTGCTGGTTTGAAGAAGTAAAGCATCTCTAGTGCTGGTGGTGGTTTAACAAGCAGTCTGTCAAATCACGGTCACTTTTTGAGAGCTCCTGAAGTTAAAATCCAACATTTTCTGATGATTAAACTCTTCTTTAGGAAGACTAGACAGGAGTCTTGTTCTCTCACTGGCACACGTCCATTTTTTGGTTCCAGACATTATTTAAAGTGCAGACTGGACAAGAAAAAAATCACTTCTTCACAACTGTGGAGATTAAACTCCCTGCTAGCTACATGGTGAGACCCGGTGTTAGTGTTTACAGTCGAGGGGAGGAGGCATCTGGACTAAAGACTACCTGGATGGGGAGGGGTGCGCCGTGATGATGCTGCTATAACCCCATCCAGCTGAATCAGAATCAGGGTTTTAGTGCCATATGTACAAGAATTCATGAAATTTCTGTGGTACTTGGCGCAAAAAGAAAGATACAAACTGGGGATACGTAAATATAGGAAGTAAGAATACAATCATGATAAAATAATAATATAAAGTGGCAATAATTAGAGAAATGGCTACTATATACAAGAAAGTGTAGGTACTGATCAGAGCGGATCAGTTCAGGTGCAAACACAACACAGGGTCATGTGACTGAAACCAAGCGACTTGAGTGGGCGGCCCTAGGATTGTCATTCATGAGTCCAACAGCAGCGGGAAGCAATGCAGCCTGCTGGGCAGACAATTTGCAACTGAGACAGAAAAGTGCTCGCAAGAAGTGTTTTCACCTTTAAAATATTAATCTGCAAATTAGCTTTTTGGTGCAAAAGTGGAAAAACATCATGTATGGTGAGATAATAAACCAAAAAGTTGTTGTTTCTCGTTTCCAGATCGCACAGCACTACAGCAAACCCAGAGTTACTCCTGTGGAGATCCTCCCTGTGTTCCCTGACTTTAAGGTGACCTTGCCGCCTAAAGAATGAGCACACACACACACACATACGCACACACACACACACACGTTGTTGTTTTCGTAGCTGCTTCACTAGCAGAACTGAATAAATACCTTCCTCTCACATTTTCTCCTCAGATGTGGATCAACCCGTGTGCTCAGGTCATCTTCGACTCTGATCCGGCACCCAAGGACATTTCTGCTCCAGCAGGAGTGGAAATGATGTCTCAAGCTATGATCAGGTATCTGCTAAAGAAATGATGGTATAAGTATACGTCACAAAAAGGTGTTTTTTTTTTTCTGAAAGCATCCCTTTATTGTTTAACGCAGAGGAATGATGGACGAGGAAGGAAATCAGTTTGTGGCTTACTTCCTGCCTAATGAAGACACGCTCCGTAAGCGAAAGAGAGACTTTGAGGAGGGACTGGACTTTATGCCAGAGGATCTGTGAGTGAAACACAAAATATTCTCTCTGTCTTGTTAGAAGGACTCCTGCTGGAGTCTGCTGCAGTATCAAGTATAAAACCATCTTCTGCGTGTGTCTCAGGTACGATTACAAGATTGCGAGGGAGTACAACTGGAACGTCAAAAACAAAGCCAGCAAAGGTTACGAAGAGAACTACTTCTTCATCTTCAGAGATGGAGATGGTGTTTACTACAACGAGCTGGAGACGAGGTCATCATTCACTCCAGTTGTTTTCTGTTCATGCAGTAAGAATAGGTTTAGTCGTGGGGGTGTCCTTAAATGGTTTCTTCTGACCTTCAGGGTGCGTTTGAGTAAGAGGAGAGCCAAGGCTGGGGCCCAGTCCACTACTAATGCTGTACTAGTGTGTAAGCACAGAGATATGAATGAGAAAGAGCTGGAAGCTCAGGTCAGTGAAAGTCATTAAAGCTCATTCAGACTCTTTTTCTCAGTGTTGGTAAAAGCAGAACCTATAAATGTGATGAACGATAGGCTGTGTTATTACGCATCACTGCATTATCTGAAAATGCTAAAAATGTGACTTCTAACAGGAAGCCCGTAAAGCTCAGCTGGAGAACCACGAGCCAGAGGATGAGGAGGAAGACATGGACAAGGACATGCAGGATTCTGGTTAGTTCTCTTTGTTTTAGCGGTTTTTTGACATCTGTTGAACTTGTCAGCTAGGTTTTCACTACCGTTTTTGATTTGTGCTTGGAAGATGTGAATGAATACATTTTTGTGTGTTTTAAGGAGGATCTCATCTGATGTTTATTATAGGTAATAGGAATAGGCTTTGTGGAGCTAACCTGGTAAAACTCATTAAACTGATTTGAGCCACATTTAGTTCATCATTCCAGATCCTTTTTAAAATGGAAAAAACCAAGAGGGTTATTTTTTTTCCTACGGAAAAGGATTAGGGTCACCGAACAGAAAATAATAATTCTGATTTTAATTTCAGAAGTCAAAAGTCAGAATTTGTACATAACCCTAATCCTCTTCGGTGATTTCCAGTGTTTTGCTGAATTTGTTATTATTTTATTTTTTCCCCCAGGTGACGAGAAAGAAAAGGGCAGCGGAAGCGAGGTGGAGAACTCCGGCAGTGAATCTGAGAGGGAAGACGAAGACCAGGAACAAAGCGGAGAGGAGGGCGAAGACGATGAGGATCGAGGGAAACGAAGGAGGAAAGCAAGCGGCAGTGGTAGCGATAGTGGCGAGGAGAGGGCTAGGGAAATGCGAGACGAGGAAGAGATCTTTGGTAGCGATGATGACAGCGATGACAACGAGCCCAAGAATTCAGCTCGGAGCAGCGGGGAGGAGGGCAGCGGGAGTGAGGATGAGGGGGGGAACAGACGAGCCAGCAGGAGTCGCAGCGCCACTCCGGCACACAGCGACCGCAGCAGCGACCACTCAGACGTTCAGGCTCAGAGTGGAAGTGAGCAAGCGTCTGACTCCAGTGAGGCCAGTGACAGTGAATAAGACCTGCAGCCTTTACGGCACAGTGGCGATCGCCATGGTGATAGTCACCTTTTGTCACCTGCATGTTTGGCTCCAAACACAACCCCTTTACCCTGTCATTAAACAGAATACGTTCGTCTGGGCTGTAGCTGTCTGATGAAGTAAAAGACGTGTGAGTCGACATGAGACATCTGTTTTCTGTCCAGGTTTTTTTGTTGTAGGTGAAAATCACTCACCAGTAGCTGTTAGTACACCACTATTGTCTGTCAGCATCATGTAAAAAATATCTTTTTCTCTTTGTTTTTACAACTGATAATAAACAGCAGGTCACATTAGGGTCAGACTTTGCATTTTGTTTGGTTATATGTACTTCCTGAAGAAATCCTCAGCCTCTTCATTAACTTCCAGTGTAGAGTTAATCAGCAAAGGATTATTACGGTACATGGTTTACTTCTAAATTGGCTTAGTTACATGAAGAATGACCCCTTATGGTCAAAGTTGGGTACTGCAGTTCATGTTTCACAACAAGAGTCCTCTCTGTACATCCCGCTCCCTTTGTGAGTTTCATGACGGTTTCTACTTGTAATGCACGACAAACGTATACAGTTGATTTGATATAAATTTAGCCAACGGTAGAGATTTTGACTGCTGGCAAACCCCGATTGTGCATAAGTGTCGTCGAGGTGCGGTTGCTACTGCAGCATCGAGCACGTGGATGAAGGCATGCGCGTAAAGAAGATGGAGCAACATTGGCTTTATGGAGTTGGATGTTGAGCAGAAAAGCATCCTCAGTAAAATATGTTGGGCAAGAGTAAATGATCTTATCTGCTTTAGTAGCTCATTAATGCAAATTCACTTAAATACCGTTTGTTTTTACCACAGTACTAACCGTACTAACGCACAGACTTCCAAACATTTACTGTGATTTAGTCTGTTTCTCTCTGCATTTTCAGCCGTGTCTCCCGTGTTTTAGGAAAGAAAAGGATCTTTTCTCTCAAAAGATAAAAATCACAAGGCGCTTAACAGGAACCAAAAATTCATGAAGATTTTTAAAAAAATTAAAACTTGGTAAAAATTTGGAAAAAAAAAAGTGATTAAAAATGTAAGGGAAGGGAAAGAGGGAAATCAGTGGAACCCAGGAAAGGTAGAGTTGGTAGAAATATCAGGAGAGGGTGGTGATGAATGTCACACAAAGCCAGTCTGAACAGGTGAGTTTTCAGCTGCTTTTTAAAGGTGACCACTGAGTCCAGTGGTCTCAGGCTCAGGGGGAGAGAGCTCAGAGTCTGGGCTTGAGTCTGAAAACAGCTCTTCTCTCTCTGTAGTGCCATTGTTTACAGCTGCAAAAGCAGCATCACTCAACAAAAAAAAAAGGCAAGGATAAACCTCTAACTTTATTTTACTGTTTTTGACAAAAAATGCAGCAAAGCATTACAAATATATAACGAGCTTTTTACTCTTTAAATTGTGTATATATTTGTTAAATTGAATATATAAGTGAGTTACTACCCGCTAGCCATCGAAGCTGCAACTAACCAACCATAGCTAACTTCTTTGGATCTAAAAAAAAAAAAAAAAAACATTTTAAATTAGCTGACTTACTTTTAAACCTGAAACTTGCCCCCGAAGTAGCTGCCGGCTTCTGATCCGCCATCCTTTTGAAGATAAAGTGATGTATTCTGGACAATTTTTGACCAATAAGGCTAGGCTACAAACACCTCCCGTGTATCCTTGCTCAGCTAGCTAAACGGCTAACAAATGGAGAACACACTCCTTGATAGAACATGACACGTCTTGGCAGTTCCTGATGACGTATCTCCTAGGCAACCGGGGCGGGGCCAAGACATCAAGGCAAGGTTCCTTGAAATTGAGAAACACCCTACATCCCTCTATGGCCATTTATTTATTTGTTTATTTATTTTCTATGACCTTTTATTTATGTATTTATTCATTCATTTTCTATGTTCTTTTATTCATTTATTTATTTTTTCTATGGCCTTTTATCTATTTATTCATTTATTTATTTTCTATGGCCTTTTAAAGAGGAGAAAAATCGACAAACCTCCAGCCGGTTGAGAAGGAACTCAGTTTCAATGTATCCGTCCTTTCAATATGATTGAGATATCAGACTGTTTTGTGATTATTTCACTGTAGAATTCATACCTATTGCACCTTTAATTGACAACCAAACTCAGCTGCTTTGATTAAATCATTTATTAATACACAGAGCACAAGAAAATCAAATGTATAGTCATGTTTGAAAAAGGCTGAGAATGTTGACATGGAAGACACGAATATATTCAGCGAAAAAATGCCAGCCGGTTCTTCAGCCATTCTTCTGTCAAGTCATCAACGTTTCTTGTTTCAAAGACCTAATTTTAAAACAAAGTGGAAAATATCAAAATAATAAAATCCCATTTTATAAACATTAGGTCTTGCAAGGATTCTAACCTAATCAAATTGTATTTCAACCAGTACTAATAAACAAGTAACATATGCACATGAAAAAAGCACGTTCCAAAGATATTCATTCAAGTATTTTTTGTTTTTCATCTAAAAGATGTTTATGAACTAGAGATCACAGTTTTGCAGTATCCACCTTTGTGAGCTCTGCAGCTTGAATCAGCCGATTCTTGCTGCCTGCGTACATCATCTGCTGCTCTGGTTTACACCCTGTTAAAATGACACACGCACACACACACACGCACACACACATTTTTGATTGACTTTTATTTACCATACACAACTAAAGAACCATCATGCTTTTAGTAGCACAATAAATAACATTGCCTCTGCTGTTTGGGATATTTATTGTATTGCCAGATTCTTGCCAACACACACCCCCTGTTGTCAGTTGTTTCTGAAATTATTGTAAAATCACACTCACACTTCAGGAATGCACAACTGAACAGCAAAGTTTCTGATTCCAGGAGCTACTTACCCATCGGACTGGAGAATATGAAGCAGAGAGGATAAGACACTCTTCCATCTGCATGGATGTATTTGTAGCTATAGACAATGAATGTACATGGTTGTCAAGGAAATGCAGTGTTGGTCAGGGAGTCAAAATGTGATTTTTCTGGCAAAACAGACAAGAAAAGAGCTTAAGTTGAGGCAAGGAAGCAACACAAGTCTGGGAATTCTGAGAAGGTTTCTCCAACGTCAGGGTGGAACGCTGAAAAAAAAATTAATGATTTTTTTTATTATAATGGGTCACTTTGAGTTTTTCATGCAGGCTGAACATCATCATCATCAACCTTTATTTATAAAGCACATTTAAACGGCGACAACGCCAACCAAAGTGCTGTACAAGACAATACATCACCAAAATAGATAAAACAAAAAAAAAAAAAAAGTAAAAAACAAAAAAACAAAAAACAGGAAAGCACAAGGGTCACAGTCTCAGCCGGGAAGGCCAGGGAATAGAAATATGTCTTCAAACGTTCTTTAAAAGTGGGAAGGAAGGGGGCAAGTTGGACCATCAGGTGGAGTTGGTTCCAAAGTTTAGGTGCACAAACTGAAAAAGCCCGTTCACCACGGGCCATATAGTGGGCAGGAGGGACAAGCAGAACGTGCTGGTCAGAGGACCTCAGGGTTTACACTGGAACATAGGGACTCAAAAGATGTGCCAAATAGGAGGGGGCCATTTCATGAATACATTTGTAAACCAACAGGAGAATTTTGAACTTAATCTGAAACCGAACTGGAAGCCAGTGTAAATTTGCCAAAACAGGGGTGATATGCTGCCGTCAGTCTATGCCCGTAAGAAACCTTGCGGCACCATTCTGTACCAATTGGAGGCGTACAACTGAAGAGGGGGGAATACCATATAAAAGTGAGTTGGCATAGTCCAGACGTGACGTTACAAAAGCATGAACAACTGACTGAAGATCTTTTTTGTTCAGGACAGATTTTAGTTTAGCCAGCCGGCGAAGATGAAAGAAACACGACCTGACTACCTGATTTATCTGTGCATCCATTTTAAAAAAGCATCCAGAGTGACCCCCAAATTTGTAATTGTCGGCTTCACCAAGACTGACAATGAAGGGGGCAGAGATGGCTCCACAGACGAGGGGGAGCAGGGGGCAAAGAAAATAGCCTCCAGTTCGGAGCTGTTAAGATGGAGAAAATTAGCCGAGAGCCAGGACCTGACTTCACTCAGGCAGGCAGTCAGTGGTTGCACGGGGTCAGCAGATTTTAGTGCCACATAAAGCTGACAATCGTCAGCATAGAGATGAAAATTTACCCGGAATTTTCTAAAAATGGCTGCCAAGGGTAAAATATATAGATTAAAAAGAAGCAGACCTAAAACATGAAAATAAGTCTCCCACACTTACCTCCTGCATTAGCTTCTGATAGAAACAGACGTTGAAACTCTAGGATTTCAAAAGCCTGACAGATCTACGTCACACTGTCACTTAACATTCATGGACTCACCCATCTTGACTTACGACGGGGAAGGCTGTTGTTGGATTAGCATCCAGGAATCAGCAGAGAATGTCTCGACTAGTAGAAGCTAACCATTAGCATTAGCAACTTCAGCACATGGCAGAACTTTGCCAGGCTTGCGTTATTTGTGGAGATTAAACATTCAGGTTTAAAGTCAGTGGTCGAGTTGAGTTGCCGTTATCCAATCTGAGGCGAGACGCCCAAATATCACGAAACAAGACTCCAAATTCTGCCCTCTGAAGCTCATCTGTGATGTGGGTCACTATAGTTCCTGGAAATGGTCTAACTATACATGCCCCTCCGAGTATGACTTACAAGACATCCATTCCTACTACAGACCACTGCAAATGTATTGATCAAACAAGTATTCTAAGCCTTTAAACTTCAGTATCTTAAACTGTGTTTCAAAACTTTAACTGCAGATAAATTGTGAAGACGTGTTATTTGCCCCAGGTTAGACCGCCCTGCCTCTCAAGCTGTGCATCTTGAACAGGCTCCTGCTCCTTTGCTTATTATCTCATTGTTAGGATATCTAGGTTGACGCTCTGGAAGCTCCTCTTTCAGGTCATCCAGGGAAATATCCTGGAAAACAAATTGAGGTTGTTTTCGAAGCAGAAACACACGTGCATTCCCTCAACCCCACTTTCCCTTTTAAAACAAACAAAAACCAATCTTGCCTCATATTCCTCCTCCAGGACAACAAGCTGTTTCTCCATGTCGATTTTCACTGAAACATAAGAATTACTCTTCAGACTTTTTATGTGCATTTTTTACTAAATGCTATAGTTTGTGTTGGATTTCTTTTGCACCAACATTCACTTTAGGCGTGTCGCACTCACTCAGTATGGCAGCATTGTTGGTTTCTTTTCGAAATCTAAACTTTCTCAGCTTCTCCTTTAGACTTTCATCCACTTCACACACAACCAAAGAGCTGGACTGCAAACGTAGCACCAAATGTAGATCAGATTCAAAGAAAGTTTTTATGCCCCCGATACAATAAAGTAAATTGGTTTATGGGTTATAAATAAATGTAAATAAAAGTGGAGAATCCATTTTGTGCGTTAAAAGCAGGAAACGTTTTGCCACAGTGTGCACAAATGTGGTTTCCTGTTTGAAACTCCAAGAAGGTTGGCCAACTTGATGATTTAAGAAATATAAACATGTATAAATACAGAAATACATAGAAATAGTAAAATCCTGGAGCTCTCAGACTTTTGGCCATAGCTTCACCTACCATTTTCAGATGATCCTCGTGTAGTTTTGGGGTCTGTAGGGCGACACGGTCGTTTGGAAATGTTTTTTCTGCTCTCAGAGAGTCAGGAGATCCTCCTTTACATGCTCTGAGGGGAGGGCAGACACTTTAGATAAAGCTTGAAGCAGGGCTATTTCCTCTTTCCGCTGACATGAAATGACACAGTCTTGCAGCATCAACTGCGTTTGCATGTTGCTGAAATGGCAGTTACGTTAAAAAGAAACGTGCACCTGTTCAGGGCATCCTTCAATCCAATAAAACAAAACTGCAAAAATGTGTAGCCCTTTTTCTTGAAATTCAATTTTGAGAACAAAAAAAAAGTTAAAGTATTTAACTACAGGGGGTACTTACAACATAGTCCAAGTCTCTGCATGCTTCAAGCTCACTACATCACGCAACCCCAACCTGTATAGGTCCAGATGAAGAGGAGGCTAAAGAAATAGAAACTGCGAAGAAAGTGTTTACATTTTTTGTGTCACCTGTCTGTATGGCCTAAACTGTGGTAATCCTTTGTGTGTTTTTGAAGCATAAAATGTGATGCAAGTATTTTATTCATTAATATGATGAAGACTTCATGTTTTTGTTTGTAACAGGGGTACCCTAACTTTTTAAAACAAGGGCCAAAATCAGCAAGTTATTAGTCCTTGTGGGACACCAAAATGTGATTTTTTTTAACTTAAAGGTGTGGTTTACTTGTTTATTCAATACATTGCAGTGTTCTCTAGTGTAAACCGGGGCGACGGTGGCACAGGAGTTAAGTGCTCGCCCCGTAATCGGAAGGTTGCAGGTTCGAGCACCGCTCAGTCTGTCGCTGTCGTTGTGTCCTTGGGCAAGACACTTAACCCACCTTGCCTGCTGGTGGTGGTCGGAGGGACCGGTGGCGCCTGTGCTCGGCAGCCTCGCCTCTGTCAGTGTGCCCCAGGGCAGCTGTGGCTACATCGTAGCTCATCACCACCAGTGTGTGAATGTGTGTGTGAATGGGTGAATGACTGATTGTGTGGTAAAGCGCCTTGGGGGGTTCCAGGACTCTAGAAGGCGCTATATCAAATACAGGCCATTTACCATTTACCATTTACCATTTTAACCAATGCCTTATGAGTCATTAAAAAAAGCTATTATGCTCCTGCTCTGCGATGCAACATTTGGTGGTGCAGAGGTGTTCTGAAACTAGCAGGGTTACTCATTATTATTAATGATATGCACACACCTCACTTTTGATGGGCTAACAGAATGCATTCAGCCACGTTGCAAAGTCACTATCACCAAAACACTCTCAGCTCTCTCTCTCCTAGCTGTGAAATAAAGCCTTCCTGTGGGCAGGCTCAACTCAAGATGGACGGGGCCATTAATGCGAATTCACAGTTACCAGAAGCTAATGCCGGAGATAGGTGTAAAAATGCTTGAAAAACTCAGTGACCACTTATAATCAGAAATAATTATTAAAAAATGTTTTACAATTCAATTCAATTCAAGTTTCTTTATATAGCGCCAAATCACGACAAGAGTCGTCTCAAGGCACTTCACACAGTAAACATTCCAATACAGGTCAGTTCAACAAGTCAATCAGTAAAAAGTTTCCTATAGAAGGAACCCAGCAAATTGCATCAAGTCACTGACTAGTGTCAGTGTCTTTACAGCAATCCTCATACTAGCATTTAGCGACAGTGGAGAGGAAAACTTCCTTTTAACAGGAAGAAACCTCCAGAGGATCCTGGCTCAGTTTAAGCAGCCATTAGCCACGACTCACTGGGGATGGAGAAGACAGAGCAGACTCTCTCTCTCACTCACACACACGCACGCACGCACGCACGCACACACAATATATATATATATATATATATATATATATATATATATATATATATATATACCAAGTAGAGTTTCTATGGTTACATTGAGATTTCTTAGTAAATATTCTATTTGGTGAGAGATAAACTTTATTGTATTTATCCTAGTGAATCCACAATTAAATGGGTAAACTAGTAGTAGCACATTCAATGTCAAAGAGAGTAAAATGTTATTATCAGGAGAGGGAGAATGTTTAAGTGGTTAGCATCAGTGTTCAAGTCGATGGCCCCCTCCATGAGGCCACCACAGCCCTCAGTGTACCACACTTTTAAAATCTGCTAAATTAACTTCAATGATATTTTTTAAATTTATATTTGCAATACAGTTCCAGAAAATGCATATTAGTCCATCAAACTAGAAATGCATCTGGTGGCTTTATAAAATCTCTCTTAGAGAATGATTGATTCACATTAATGGAATTTGTTTGAATGGGAATTAATTTTGAGACATCTGCGGTGATGGAATGTATTGAAATGCAAGTGCTTTATTAGTACAACTACTCAGTTACTGTACTTAAGTACAATTTATTTTGTATCTGTGCTTTACTTAAGTAATTTTCTTGAGGCCTACTTTTAACTTTTACTCTATTTCATTTTTTACAGCAATTTTCCCAAGATCCGTGGGCATTGCTCTATATACACAACACATACCTAAATGTAATTTGAATACTTTTAATATTTCACTTTTAAGTACATTTGAAAATGCATACTTTAATAATTTTACTTAAGTGGTAAATAGCCTGTACATGTATAGTGCCTTCTTAGGGTTTTACAACTCTTTCAAGGCGCTTTACAACAAAATCAGTCATTCACCCATTCACACACACACACACACACACACACACACACACACACACACACACACACACACACACACACACACACACACACACACACACACACACACACACACACGCTGGTGGAGATGAGCTACAATGTAGCCACAGCTGCCCTGGGACGTACTGACAGAGGCAAGGCCTGCCGAACACTGGCACCACCAGTACCTCCAATCACCACCAGCAGGTAAGGCAGGTTATGTGTTTTGCCCAAGGACACAACAGCTGGATTCTTTGGTGGGAGCCGGGATCAAATCTGCAACCTTCCATTTACTGGACAAGTATGGTTGGCAGTAATCTACCTCCTGAGCTGCTGCTGTCTCCAAAATCAAGACAAAATGTTCTTGAATACATCCTGTCAAACTTAATCTTCCACGCAACTTTACTTTGTTGAAAGAAAAAAATCAAGTACTCCTTTGTTCTTCCACCACTGACTGGAAATCTGAAATACTGACTGTGAAGAAATAAATAATGTAATATTTGTTTATTCTTTCTTGAACCAGAAAACCTCACTTTCAAGGTAGTCAATGGAGAATAAACAATGGTGTGGACAGAAGAAGGGGGGGGGGGGGCTATTGTGGAAAAAAAAATTCGTACGTGGTGACGTACGTCGTTGTGCCCACGTCTTACGTCAACTCAAAATCGAAGTGGATTTCTCCAGGCGTACACTCCTTATTTTCTGTATTCCAGTTAGCATTTTTGTATATACGTTCTTTAAGATGTTATTTTTGAAGTAACAGAGACACACTGCTATATTTGGGATATCCTTAAAGGTTCCTACGTGTGAAATAGAGATCTACGCCTATTTAATTTAAGCCAACGTAACTGCAGCTGCTAGCTCCCTGCTATCCCTCCCTCTACTCATACTGACGAGCTAGCTGTGCATTAGCGCTTTAGCCTAGCTCCCTGACCAGATACAACTGAGAAAAAGGTAAACATATCTTTTCATTTCGTGGTTTGTACATCGTCATTCACTTACCTGGTATCCGGTTTACTTTGCGTTCTGGCAGTAACGCGCTCTCGATTAAAGTTGTGTTTGTATTGCTCCGTTTCTTTCGCCAAGATTGGAGTACCAGGCGGAGAAAAGGAGTAGCAACAGCGTCAACGCAAAACAATACAAATCCTGAGTCCCTCATCAGACTAGGCCGACCGGGCTAAATCCAGTTTACCGACACCCAGTGCTTCGCCACTGGGTGAAACGTTCGCCTAGTTCAAGTTAATGAACTCAACAAGAACCTAAGCTATTAATACTGAGCTCTGCTTTTTCCTCAATGTTAAGTTTATAATGGAAGAAAATGACTTACTGTGATGGGAGTTTGCAGTTTTTACATTAATTGAATTAATAAGATATCGTCTGATAAGACGATTGTGCTTCTGTTAATAAGTAACGGATACACGCCATTTGTAATTATTTGTTATAAACGCAGGATCTGGATCATTCATATACAAGTTAAAGCAGCTTAATATAGAAACTTGATTTATTTTTGGTAATTTGAACTCTTAAATTTCAACTGAATGCTTAAAGTGTTTGTGTTATTCTTCATTGAGTCTAAATAATTCAGTTAAATCAGCTCTTTTTTGCTTTTATTTGCACACTATTATATGCTTTTATCCATTATAGTATTTTATTAATGTTTGCTCATTCTTCATTATCAGCCTCCCATCTAGCGATTGACTGATATATCAGGCAGCTGATGTTTGCCGTTTTTATTTTGGCATTGGCCAAGATATCTCTTTAGCGGAGCCATTTAACATCAGGCACATCAGGCAGCCCGCTGCTTCCAATTTTTATTTAAACGCATATTTAGGTTCCTGAAAAACATCTGCTGAATGAATGCTTTTAAACATTATAGCCTGACATTTCTAATTTTTCATGTTTTTGTTTTTAAAACTTGGTCAGTTTATTGATTTGTTTTATTAACTTTGTTTAGATGTTTGATTTTAATACTGTGCTCATAAGTAAACATCCATTGTTTTATTGTTGGTGAAAATTAATTAAATGATGCCTAATAGTTAAAAAATATTGGCGGCTTCGTAACATATAACCATAAAAATTGGGTACAGGGGAGCGGGTCTAAGGGTGTTTCTCAATGTCAAGTTTAAATAAAAATGTATAACGAGTAGGGCCCGACTGATATGCTTTATTTGGGACCGATGCCGATACAAAAGTTTTAACAAAGGCCGATAGCCGATATAATGGCCGATAAATCTCCCTCACAAAAAAAAAGAAATACAAATTTTCTTAACTCATTCACTGCCATTGACGACTAAAGTCGTCATTTGCATTTTTTTTACTGTTTGAGCATCAGAACGAGCCCCCGCGCTGAGCGAACAAACATCTCAGCCCTGAAGCCGATATTCATCCGCATACGTCACACATCACATGATCAGGAAGCAGACCATCCATGTATTAGGAGATCGTTTTGGGCCGTTCCTGTAAAAAAGTGAGGCGCGAACCGGAAAAGCGTCTGCCGATCACAATTCGACAACGGATTATGAAAGAACGGATAACGCTCGAAACACATGGATTCTTCCTGATGTAAGAGGTGAGTCTCCGCTTTGTTTAGGTTGTTTTGGCGTCGACATCATCCTAGCACGCAACGTTCTGTGACTCTTAAAAAAACAGTAAAAACGGTGAGAAACGCTGGCAGCGAAGGCCGTTAGCGATCAGGAAATGGCTGGCAGTGAATGAGTTAAGCTTAAACCCTTCATTCTCTGCCTTTTTGGTGCAAACTTATTTCTCTATTACACGCCAAAGAACTGTCTCAATAACTCACTAGGGTTTCCAAGTAATGCAAATAAGATTTATTTAGAAGATCTCAAAAACAACAGAACAAACAAACTAGGCCTAGTCCACACATAGCAGGGTTTTTTCAAAAACGAATATCCGCCTCTCCAAAAACTTGCATCCACACCACCTCGTTTTAAAAAAACTCTGTCCACACGTACCCGGATAAATACGTTGTTAAGGACATGCCAGACCTGTAGGCGGCAGTACTTCCCCCGTTCTTAACCTCGTCCTTCGTCTGTGGTCTTCCGCAAGGAGCAGTAACTCCGCTTGCAAAAACAAACAAGCAAAAAGCGCTTGGACAATTGATAAAGCGAGCGCAGCTCTGAGGGCATCCATGCTGTCGGCTAGTGTAAACACAGGTCGCACACGTGATGTCAGCATTTTTTGTCGCGGAAAGTGACGTTGCGGACCTTAAAACTCCGGTTTTGTCTGTCCACACGCAGACACCCAAAACAGAGAAAACGCAGATCTTCACTTTGGCCGGAGTTTTTAAAAAGATCCGTTTTCGTGTGAAAAAACTCAGTTTTTGTGTGGATGACAGGCCAAAACGTAGAAAAATATCTACGTTTTGGCAGATCCCCAGCTACGTGTGGATAGGGCCTAAGTCACAGCATAAATCTAACATTCAAGTTTTTTCTTGTAATCTGTGGTTTCCACAAATACATTTTAACATAAAGGAATATTCCACCACTCAGTAAAATTTAGGGATGCACCGATGGATCGGCATTTGATTCCAATCGGCCAATAGCGCCCCTATCGGTTTTGATCGGAGTTTTCAAAATAGATCAAAGCAGACCGATCTGCAGACCATTTTAGATTAGGTTACATTTCCTTTATTCCCAGATTATGTAGTTTGTAGCACTCATTATAATGTTGTAGAAAATTTCTGGCCAATCCACATGATCGGTCTCGGTGATCGGTATCGCTGAACAGCATTCTTTGATATCGGTATCGGTGATCGGCAGCAAAAAACCAGATCGGTGCGTCCCTAGTAAATTTGTGTCTTGTTAAGATTCCCCAGAGTTAGACAAGTCAGAAAAAGCATTTTATAACCAGCCTTATATGATCTGGCAGCACTTGGTGTTCTTAGTTTAGCATAAAAAAATGTAAGTCAATTCACATACATTGTAGTGTTTTTTATGTAGGTGAATGCAAGCCTTCCCTTCCATTGCTTTATGCTAAAACAACTGGTTACAACATGTTTTTTCTGACTTGGCTAACTCTGGGGAATCTAACAACACACACAAGTTTAGGGACAGAAGATCCCTATAAGAATATAAAAATAATAAAAATGCAGCAATAAATAAAACGTAGTACTTGTGCTCTGTAACAAAGTAACACTCTGTGGAAGTTAACTTGGTGAACTCATTCACCCTGGACAGGAAATAATTGCACATCAGAAACATAAATAAGAATAAATTTTAAAAATAGTTCCAAAACAATAATTTGTGTTCAAAGTTCAAAGGAGTGGAGCCACACAACATGAGTTCATAAAGCTGGCGCCATCTGCTGGATAGGTAGCGCAATATCGGCCATATCGGTCGTCTTTTTGGTCGATAGCCGATACTGTTAATGACCCCAATATCGGTCGGGCCTTAATAATGAGACTTTTACTTTTTAAATTGTTTATATATTTGTTAAATTAAATATGTAAGTGAGTTACTACCTGCTAGCCACCAAAGCTGCAACTAACCAAAGATAACTGCTTTTGATTGATAAAACATTTTAGATATCAGCCCAATAGCTTCAATTAGTTGACTTAAATTTAAACTGGAAATTTGCCCTGAAGTAGCTGCCGGCTTCTGATCTGCCATCTTTTTCAAAATACCGTACTATATTGTGGGAAATTTATGACCAAGGCCAGGCTACAAGGTACCTCCCATGTATCCTTGCTCAACTAGGTTAACAGCTAACAAACGGGGAACAGATGCCTCGGTAGCACACGAACATTGGAACATGCCTTGGCGGTTCCTGATGACGTATATCAAGGCAACCGGGACGGGTCCAAGACGTCACGGCAAGGTTCCTTTGCATTGAGAAACACCCCCCAAGTCTCTGGGCAATGTCATATTAGATGCCATGTTTCCTTTCACGGGAGCCCGTGAGGACAAAACACATTTACTCATTTGTAACAAACGGTTACAAAACTTTCAACATTCATAAACGTTGTTTTAAACATTTACCTCTTCACTTGTTGCCAGTTCTGAAAGGAAGTCTGATTTGCTTGTTGTTTTACTAGAGGTTGAACAATCAGTCAAAGTCCTCCTAAGAAAATTGCGCTCCCAAGGATTTTTGGCCCTAACGGCAATCCTTTGGTAAGTTCTAATTGTGTACTTCCCCCAATCACCAGGGAAAATGCACACCATAACTTTAAAGTAACACTTTCTTGCTTCTCCCTCTTCTGGTTAAAGCAGAATTGCAAAAGTTGTAAACCACGCTGCTGCAGCCTGCTGTAGCTAGTGTTAACAGCGAGCTAAAGCCAACACGAGCCAACAGATACTAAATGAGCCGAGAAGTGAAAAGATCCACCACTGTTGGACAAAAAAATATTATTGCTTCTAAGTCCAGTGGTAACAAAGCCAGGTCACCATCAGTCTGTGATTTCGTAGCCGCCTTTGACTCCCACAAATGGGTGTAGGCCGCGACCTTTGGTTTTAGCGCTTCATCCACTGTTATTAGAGACATTGTAGCAGGCAGACGAGGTAGAAAACGCCGAGGTATTGGTAATGAAAATCAGCCCTCAAACGTCAGCAGCACATATCGGCCATTGACTGACTGTGACCTCCATCTACCGGCATCGGTATCGGCAAAAGAAAATTCAACATCCATCCATTTGCTGCATCATCAGCTCTCCGATTAGGACAAATAAAATTATATTCTTGCAAATTAACTAAACTACAAAACAGGTTACACTTCTGGGTAAATTCTGCATGTGCAAATTAGCATTTATTTGATTAAATAAGTATTTGAGACCTAAAAGCTGAAGTTGGTCTTGGGTGATTTTATTTTAACCTTGTTTCTTTGCTGATTTTATAGGGCAAAGATCCAGATCATGTTGGAGTAAAAAAACAAAAAAGCAGCTTTTCCTGTTTGGATCATCACCTACGACAGTTGACATCCACCTTAAGCCTGAAGACATCCTCCCAAAAACTTCCTACAACATTCCTCCAGTACCTGAACCATGTGAGGGCCCCTCGGTCCAATCTGAGGGGATCTCAGGGCGGTTGAAGGAATAACCCCGCTGTGCGGAGCAAGACTTTTCCTGTCTCTCTCTGATCAGCCTAACCCTCCCTGTTCACACATTCCCCGTTCTCCTCAACAAGGAGACACGCCATGATGTTCCGAGACCAGGTGGGTGTCCTCACAGATTGGTTCAAAGGCTGGAATGAGTGTGAACAGACGGTGGCACTCTTATCCCTCCTGAAGAGGGTGTCCCGCACCCAGGCCCGCTTTCTGCACATTTGTCTTGAACACTGGCTGGCAGACTGCACCGAGATTCACATCCTAGAAGCAGAGGCCAATAATGCAGGTAAGTCTCACTTTAAGGTTCGTTAAAAAGAACATTTCTGATGATAAGAGTGTTGATTCTTTCTTTTGGGGCTGACAAATCGGTGATAAATATTTGTTTTTCTCTGTGACCAGCAACAGTCAGCCAGTGGCATCAAGAGCCTAAAGAGAAAGTGGTGTCCCTGCTGTTGTCCCATTTGCCCCTGCTGCAGCCACGTAACTGTGAGGCCAAGTGTGAGTACATGAAGCTGCTGCAGAAGGTGCTAAGTCACACAATTGAGAGCAGCCACTTTGTGGAAGCAAGCAGACAGCTGCTCTCCTATGCACTCATCCACCCTGCTACCACCCTGGAGGACCGCACGTCTCTGGCCATGTGGCTAAACCACCTAGAGGAACACCTTTCAGGTGGCTATGCATCTCGGGTACCGTCGAGCCCGTACCACCCACGCCAGGGCTCCGACGAGTGGCCGAGCTCTGCCGAGGCTCTCGACCCTGGCAACACTTGGCACGACAAGTCCCCGTCATCCAGCTCGTCTCCCGCAGGACAGAACGGACACATGGCCTTTCCGGGCGGGCTGCCCTCACCTATTAGCAGCAATAATACAGGTAATGCTTCTTAACTTCGAGCATCACATCCAGCCTTGAAATCAGCTTTTTTCTTACTGAATATTTGTTTTGGTATTCTTTGTTAGGTTTGGTGGGGCAGATGCAGCCCAGCCCGCTGAAGAAGTCCATGTCCATTGTTCCTTCTAGTCCTCAGACTTGTGGTTCTGAGTGGGTAACCCAGGACGACACAGGGGGGCGGCAGTCGTTCATCCCAACGGACCACGCTCCTCTTTCACCCCAGAGCAGCATCGCTTCTTCAGGCAGCGAGCAGACAGAAGAGCAGGGCTCCGCTCGCAACACCTTCACGGAGGATGGCAGTGGCATGAAAGGTCAGAGTTCTTTGCTTCCCAAACCACATCAGGACATTTTCCTGCACTTTCCTTACTCCATTCTTTTTTTTTGGGGTGACTCTTTACTTTCCCTGCTTCTTTCTAGATGTTCCAGCCTGGTTGAAGAGTCTTCGGCTTCATAAATACGCGTCGCTGTTCTCGCAGATGACCTACGACGAGATGATGATTCTGACAGAGCAGCATCTAGAGTCTCAGGTATCCCTTCACTCGGCCCAGACTTTCATTTTTCCTCTCTTGCCGCCCTCCAGTCTGATGATACATCAACTCTCAATGAGGCATGAAATTAAACGGTGCACGCTACAGTTATATCGAGCACCATACAAGTGTTTTGTACGTTTTTCTTTTCTCTTGTCTTTAAAAACCAGATGGTGATTAGGTTGGTTGTTTAGCGACTGTATAAATTGTTCAGTGTTGCCTCAAGAAAAGATTTCTTATGCTATCTTGTTATTTCCCATCTTTCCTCTGTTTTTTAGAATGTCACCAAAGGAGCACGGCACAAGATTGCCTTGAGCATCCAGAAACTGCGAGAGAGGCAAAGTGTGCTCAAGTCGTTAGAAAAGGTACAGCTTGTGGTGATTTTAGGCTAAAAAAAGCGGGAAAACAATGTTTTTCAGGTGGCTTTTCACTGCGCTTTTTCAAAAACCCTCTTGTGTGAGGATCACGTGGACCCGATTTAGCTCTGTCGGGAAATTCCCATTCCACTAGTTGGTAGCAAACAAACAAGCAGTGCTGCTGGAGTTCAGCGTCTTCCTCTTACTGCTCCATTTGTGCCAGCGTTTGTTTTGTCTAATGGAGAGTTCAGAATTTACCTAACCCAACTTATTTAGACACTTAAATCCTACATGTGCCTTTCTGGATGACTTCTGCAGCACGTGATGCTAATTTTATCTTACATTTTTAGGATATTTTAGAAGGTGGAAACCTGCGCAACGCCCTTCAGGAGCTTCAGCTGATTATCATCACCCCCATTAAGCCCTATAGTCCACCCGACGCAGCGCAGCCCGCCCCGGATTCCTCCTCTTCCTCGTCAGAAGTCACAAAAACGGGAGCGGATCAAGAGGCACCGTCGGAAGACTTCCAGTCCAGCAACCCACCTCCCTGTGATGGAGACTCCTCAGTCACGCCCATCTCAGACGGCGACATTGCGGGGCAGTTTACCCGTGTCATGGGTAAAGGTAAGAACTTGATGGAGGTGTGGCCTGAATTCAAAAGTCTCAGCACAACAGAATAAGCTGAAAAGCAACTTTTTTCCTCTCAGAACAACAACTTTGCCTACAATGGAAAACAAGTTAAAAAAAAATACCAGGAAAACGGAAGTTGTGCTAGACAGGTGTTCTGTCAATGTAGTTACCCCCGTAAAAATGAGGCTTTCCTGCTTCAGGAGCAGTCATAACTTTTAGCATTGTACAACAGTCAGAGAAAATAGGATCTTTGTAGGATGTTGACTGAGTTTTGGTACACCAGTCTGCCATGACCCCCCCCCCCCAACACACACACACACACACACACACACACACACACACACACACACACACACACACACACACAGACACACAGACACACACAGACACACACACACACACACACACACACACACACACACTTACTTATTTGGGGAACGTTTTTGGTTTATTAAAAAACAAAATCCTGGTATTTCCTTTTTGTTATAACTTCCATTTATGGTAATGTTGTTGTGTTGCTACTGGTTTTTATGCGTTTTAGGCTTTTGTACTTATTTGAACCGCATGGGCCACCGTAGTAGACTGGTTGCATCCAAAACTGGTGACTGTATACAGTTGTGATTTTAACTTTTGTATAATTTTCAGAATAACAAAACACAGATTTAAAGAAATGTTTTTTTTAAGTATTTCATGTTTACTCTGGTCTGCCTCGAGTTTCCTGCATTTATAAATCATCAGTGATGATCTGTTCACGTTTAAGGTGAAATTAACTGAAAAATTTTTTTAAATATATATTTTTAAATAATTATCAGTCACTCTGAGTTTTTCAAGCAGGCTGAACCTGAAAATAGTCTCCTACACCTATCTCTCGCATTAGCTTCTGAGAGAAAATAGATGGCGAAACTCTAGGATTTTAAAATTGTGACAGGTCTACGTCGCACTGTCACCTAGCATTCATGGACTCACCTATCTTGGCTCACAACGGGAAGGCTGTTGTTGGTTTAGCATCCAGGAAACAGCAGAGAACGTCTCGGCTAGTAGTAGCTAATTTGTAGCATTAGCAACTCCACCACACAGCTGAACTCCTCCAGGCTTGTGTTATTTGTGGAGATAAAACATTGACGATGCAAAGCAAACAGAGTCAGTGGTAGAGTTGTGATGCTGTTGGCCAATCAGAGGCAAGATGTCCAAATGTCAGGAAATAAGACTCCAAATCCTGACGTCTGAAGCTACTTTCTCCTGCTGCTGACATAAAAGGCATTAATTCCTACTAGAGACCGCTGCAAATGTATTAAAAATGAGTAACGTTGACCTTTAATGTACCGTGTTGCAGTTTGAAAACTCCTGCTTCTTTGTTTTAGTGTGCACCCAGCTGCTGGTGTCTAGACCAGATGAGGAAAATATTAGTGGTTATCTTCAACTTATTGAAAAGTGTCTGACTCATGAGGTGGGTACTGGCTTTATACATTTTTGTTGCTGTCTCATGTTCATGCTTTTATGATCTTTTTGGCTGGTCTGGTGTGTGTTTCTGCAGTCTGCTTAGGAGTTAGGCCAGTGTTTCTCATTTAGTGAGGCGTGCATGGGGTTGTCAGGGGTGTGCAAGAGGCAAGAGTAGGGCTGCTCGATTATGGAAAAAATAATAATCACGATTATGGTGACTGAAATTGAGATCTCGATTATTTAGGACAATTTTTCAGTTTATGTTGGTTTTATTTGTTTTTATTCAGTCATAAAATTGCTCAGGGCACAATCAGGACAAAAATAAGAAACAAGATGATCACTAAAAGAACTCCTGATTCCCAGTATAAAAAGACCAATATACTTATAGCTCATAGTCTATGACCCAAGGGTTATAGACCTTGGTTTAACTCATTTAAGTCTAACCAGTACAGACCCAAATACCAATATCTTGCAAATACTGACAGCAAGAATTATGCAGTGGCATTTATAACAAATAAATGCAAATAAATTGATGTTCACAAAATGTTGCATAACATTTATTGAGTCGTGTCAAGGTGCTGTAGGAGAGTGCACTAGCACCGTGTCCTCAGAGAGATTAGTTATTAGTTATCAGCGTGAGGAACTTATTTCTACCTTATTTATAAACTATTTATTTACAGGTCCATCAGTTAATGTAATAATTGTCCCAACCACAGCTGCACCCCCCACCCCCCAACCTGGTCTCAGCAATCGGGGCAAGCTGCACGTGTGTTTAGCGCGCCGCACGCGCACATTTAGCTGTTTTTAGTGGCTCAGGAGTCCGCAGGTACGGTGTGTGTGTCACTCACTCTGGTTACTCCAACAGGGAGCCGGCTCCGAGAGCTGTTTCTTTAGCGACTGACACATCACTGCATCATTCCCTTTCCTAATGTCCTGAAGAACGGTCCGGAGCGCAGGCGGAGTGTTTAGCTAACCTGCAGGAAATGTCGACGACAGTTATCCAGAAAGTAGCTAAGGGTTACCAGAGATGTTTCTGAGGTGTTCGCTAGGTACTTTTAGGATTAAAAAGTCAAGAAGGGGGTCTGAAAAGCTGTTGGAAATAGTGTCAAAGTCGCCAAGTTGGTAACACTGTGGGAGGAGCGCTTCATTTGCAACTCGGGGTAGCGCAAGCGGGAGGAGCAAATAATCGGCTTGTTTTGTTTTTATAATCGTTCAAAACTCGGATCGTAATCGTGATTAAAATTCGATTAATTGAGCAGCCCTAGGCAAGAGAATACTTTATTTTTAGGATCATCTTTCACGTTGGGACGCTAAACCACCCCCCAGTCTTTAGGTGGGAGCAGCACTCAGACTATTTGACAGGCTGCCTGTTTAACCCAGGCAGAGGCGGCGGAACAAGTGGTTGGCTGAAAAAAAGACAAGAAATCAGACCAAGCCTTGATAACCCCAGGATTAACTGTGACTACAGTAGTAGCTGGCGAAGTAATCGCTTGGTGGAGCTAATTTGCTAATAGATTAATCTTCTCAGGTGATGGAAAGTAATTGATAAACACTGAATTAAACTAACTCCAGAGCAGATTGCCACTTTCCCTAAAACAATTTTTAAGTTCATGGAAATTTGTTTTCTAGTTCTAAGCAGACTTGAACCACCAGAAATACTAAGTTTTGGTAGTATTTGTTTTTGCCATAGAGTTCCATGAAGGTAATCGTGTAATGCAAAACCGACAACCATGCAGAAGTTTGTGTAATAACATTTTAGAAGTGTTTTAGCTTTGCTGTGCTTGGATTAGTCATCATTTAGGCTCCAATCAGAAACCATTCAAGTAGCCTATTTAATGGATGAATCGGTGATTATCGTTTTTATACACAAACACACTTCACAATGGAGGAAAAAATACCTTTTAATTGTTTAGGAGTAGATTAATGTTATTTTTTTTCTGTTTTGGGTGTCAGGCTTTTACAGAAACGCATAAGAAAAGGTTAGTCTCTTGGAAGCAGCAGGTCCTCAGGGTGCTGCGCATGTTCCCTCGAAAAGCTATGCCGGACATGCCGGCATACCGACAGAAGGGGTGAGACTTTTGGCCTTTTCTTACCTTTGGTCTCCTTTAGCAGCGTGAACGTCCAGTTGACCTAACGCAGCACTCCCCGATGTCTTCTCGTCTGTTTGATTTGTCTGTGCTGCACTTTTTCCTTCTCATTAAAATCATTAGTAACTAAAGGATCTCAACAACAGAGTGATGCTGTGGGTCGTTCATTTCTGATTCTTTTTTTGTATTTTACTGTTTCAGCTGGAACTATGGGTCAAACTCCCTCCCCACAGCAGGTTCTGTGAGCGGAGGTGTAAGTCGAAGAGGACAGAGACCGTTTCCAATGAGCCCTCGTGGAGTCCCAGCTGGGCGCTTGTGTCTGTCAGGCGGGATCGGGGGCGTGTCTCCGCGCCACACACTCACTAATCCAGCACTGGCCAGCCAGGGTAGACAAGTCAGTATCGCTGTTAGCAGATAAATATCATTACACGTCTCATAATATCACACCGTTCAGAGATCACTTTCGCTTTTGAGGACTTTAAATGATCCTTCTTCTTAAAATGTTGTTTTATATTATTATGGTTCAAGTTCCATTAGTCGTCATCACACTGGTGAAATTACATCCCTGCATTTGACCCATCCACGAGGGGAGCGGTGAGCTGCAGCTGTGGCTGCACTCGGGAACTATTTGGTGGTTTAACCCCCAATCAAACCCCTTAATCCTGAGTGTCAAGCAGGGAGACATTGTGTCCCATTTTTAAATTCTGTGGTACGGCCCGACCAGGATTTGAACCCTGGTCTCCCAGTCCCAGTGCAGACACTCTACCGCTAGGCCACTGAGAAGTCATATTATCAGATATATTATTATTATTAAAAGTATAAGGTATATTATTACTTAGAATAGTAGATTTGAGGCTTGAGGAATTGAGAAAAGATCACCAACCCTTATGGATAAGAAAAAAAGACTAAAAAGATCTTGTGTTTGTTCTGCAGAACCTGTGGTTTGCCAACCCCGGGGGCAGTAACAGCATGCCAAGTCAGAGTCGCAGCTCAGTGCAGCGGACACACTCACTCCCTGTCCACACATCCCCACAAACCATGCTCTTGTTCCAGCAGCAAGGTACGGTACTAGGTTGAACATATTAGTCATTAGCTTGTACTCGCCTGCAGCCGGCTGTTGTCCTTGGTTAAATGCGACTTTACTGCATTCTTTCTGCAAACTGTGTGTTTAAGCTAAACTCTTTAAGTTGTTCGGGAACTCGACTGTTTTAAAGTGGTTGATTGGACTCATAGTAGAGATATTTTGCAAACAGCAAAACCTCCACAGTGTTTGTCGAATGATGGTCTCCTATCACATAAGGAGCTGCTCTTGCCCTGTGCCAAGGACAAAATGGCAATACGGGTTAACGGCATGTCACAGTTAACAGTCTGTCACCTCACTTGGTATAGATAACCTTTCCCTCACCCCACCTGTGTGTCAGACACGGGTATAAACAAATGTACTTCACATAACAAAGAATTCTGTAAAAATTCACAACTTAATGTCTATTAAAACATAGCAGCTTTGTCATTTATTCAAGTTTTGTTGGTGTTGATTTTAGGTGTTTATTACTATCGTGTTCTTAAATAATTTAAATTTTTAAAGAAAGTTTTTAAATAATCACACCTGGCCTCACATTTCCTAGAGCTGATAGTTGATTTTTTTTACCAGCCTTCAATAAAGTGTTTAAATGATATCCTTTACAGAATCTAATTGAGCAAATTCCTTGCATTTGTCTTTTTTTATTTTTATTTTATGTAGTTTTTTTAATTAGTTAGCAGTTTCTGTAATTCACAAATTTTAATCTAAAATTTTCCTTTTTACCCATTTTTTAATTATATTTTTTCATAATTTTTTTCTTGTTAATTTTGTTCTTCTGAAGCGCTTCAGGATTTTTTACTTAAACGGCGCTATATAAAAATAATTTCTTCTTTGTCTTTTTATTTGTCTTCTTCACTTCTTCCCCACTCGGTGCATTTTTTGAGTAAAGGCTTTAACCTTAATACTAAAAATGTAAACTATGTAGGCCTGGGACGATAACGAATTTTGTTGGACGATATATTGTCCAACAAATTATTGATGATAAACGATATTATTCTCGACATTATCGAGACCAAAATTACCACTTCTGTAATGTTGATATATCATAATAATGCAAATACACCATTTAAAATACAACAATTAAACATTTATTTATCATTGGAATGTCACAAGCTAGAACTTCTAAATAAATTAACAAAACAAAACTAAACAAGAAAAAAAAGGCGTCTTTCCCAAACAATAAATAAATGGCCTATCCAGTGTCGTCAACAACCAAAACTACATTTCAATAATGATAAATATTAATAAGAGTTGTACATTTCTTAACCTCGATATATTGAGGCTGGAAAAATTGAGTTGATTTTCATCTATTGTAAAAATAATTGCTGTATTGATTATCGTCCCAGTCCTAAAACTATGCATAAATCTTCTTTGTAGCCATTTAAAATATTGCATTCTTTAGTGACTGATGTAAAACGCACACAAACAAGGCTAATTCCAAATGTAATTTGTAATCTCTCTCGTTCTGGAGAACTGAGACTGTTGTTTTTGTTTCCGTAAGAATGCCAAGTTCCAGGTTCAGACCTGGAGATCAACCCTACGCTGGAGTCACTGTGCCTCAGTATGACAGAGCATGCCTTAGGGGGTAAGTGTCCTCATTGACGATGAGCTAACAAACCGCACACACCATTCACATAAACAGCTGATATACCGGTACATATTCTCTGTGAAGGAAATGACAAATAATACCCAGTTTTTTTCTGTAATTTACATTCTGGTAGGCCGTGTCGACACGGAGCTGGGAGCCGGTCTGCCCCCCACCCCCATATTCAACCAGTGAAATAAAGTATAGAAATATAAATTTACTTACTGATAAAAAGAAGCAGAAACTGCCTGGATGATATTTTACTGCGGTCAGTCAACCACAGCTTGCCCTCTTTGTCCAAATAATTCCAAGATTAACATCCCAACACGAACACACAAAGGACACAACTTAAATTCGGAGAGTTGAAATGGTCGAACATCTAACATGAGCCCGAGGCCTTTCCCCGGAGCTAGGTCTGAAGTCACGTGGCTCAGATGCTCATTAAGTATTCAGAATTTTTAAGCATTTAATTACACTTAAACAGAAGAATTAGAAAAAAATCCACCGCCCTCAGATTTGTCATGACCGCAAACTAGATCTATTAAACTTAAAATGTTTTTTTGAAACAGGCTTTTGAACTGCTGTGAAAAAAGCATTTTTAACATTGGAGTCAGTGAGGATTTGCTCACTTCTGGTGCCAGCCCCTAGCGGATGAGGGTGGAACTGCAATTGTAGCCACTTCTTCTTGGCTTAAAAAAATGCAGACCAAAATGGCCCCTTGGGTAAAAATAGCATTCACGGCCCATCCCACCTTGGTTTGCAACTTTGGAAAGAGAGGGAGAGCACATGAGTGTTTTTGCTATTGAAGAAAGGATAGCAAATGGGGACAGTGGAAGAGTCGCATAGCAGTTAGCCAATCAGGGGTGACACATTTGCATATCATGAATATTAATGAGTAAGACTCATAATTCTTTTGTTGCTGCCCCTCACTCCTCTGACGAATTTTAATGCCCGGAAACGGGATAACCAGATTTTCTTTTCTACATGAAACCACTCTCACCGCATTCATTCAAACAAGAGACCCAAGCGAATGGGGAAAAAATTAGTGAATGAGAGACCATGATACGTGTTTTGTCAGCTTACATGCTTTTAAGTCTCATTTGGTGAAACTGGGTTTGGATTTTTGTGATTATAACTTTTCAGGGTATCCGCGGGTCCTTAAAAAGTCTTAAATTTGCTTTTCCAAATTTAAGGCCTTAAAAATCCTTAAAAATGACAAATAATCCTTAAATACAGTTTCCAAAGGTCTTAAATTACCAAAGACCCAATAAACAAGATTCTTTTAATTCTGTAAAAATTTCGTGAATTTCTAGTTAGTGTTCAGCATTTTTTTGTGTACGATGTAAGCGGAACCGTACACATTCAGTTGGTTGTGAAAGGGGGCTATTTTTAGATGAGCACATTAGCTGGTTAAGCTAGTGGGAGCTTGCGCCACAGGGAAGTGCAAGTTTAATGGTAACTGGATGGCTAATCCCACGTTCGCGACGTGGTTAGCACCGGTTCCAGGCAATAGCTGGAAATTATAGCTTAAATTTAATTTTAAAAATTGCTTAAATTTGGTCAAAGTGGCCTTAAAAAAGGTCTTAAAAAGTCTTAAATTTGGCTCCCTTAAACCTGCAGATACCCTGCTTTTGCTGGTGCTTTGGTATAAACAAGTTCAAATTGGGTTCTAGTTTAGTGCCGGTTCTTGGTATACTAGTGATTCAACGTTGAACTTGTGTGTCTTTGTTGTGAAAATCATGGCAGCAAGGTTAGAAAATGAAAACATTAACTGGCAGCAATATTTTCTTTGATTGTTACTGCAACTGATGTTCCTCCATAAATGGGTTTGATTTTATTGTCATGAATACTCAATAAAGGCACAAAAAACACGCGCAACACGTACGAACGTATCACAGATCTGATTGTGTAATACCTTTTTATTTTTATTGTTTTGCAGATGGAACAGACCGAACATCAACAATATGACAAGACAAAAGGAAACAAAAATACTTTGAGATCTGTTCTGTTCAGCACAAAGATATATGAATGCTTCAGAAAACCAGGCTACGCAGTCACTACAATATGACAAAAAAACTGTGTATATGTTCTCTAATATTTTTGTACTTTATTATATACAACTAAGTTTATTAAAAATGGAATACAGATGATTATTATATTGTAGAATAGAGAAATGGTTAACTGTCTCACCTGTGCCATGCCACCTGCAGGACTGTGGCATGATGCGCAGCAGCTCAGTTTACCGTGGTTCGTGAAAACCGGTGGATTGGTGCTGTCTTTAAGGGTTCTGCCCTGAATCGCTCTTCTTCTCCCACTGCCTTGAAACAAGGCTTTCTATTTACAATAAACCGACGGCCACAGCCCCTGCACCGTAGGATTTCTAGTTTGAACGTTTTCCAGCCAGAAGAAAGGCACTTTTCTGAGATTATCTTTAAAAATTAGGCACTAAACTGCAATTGGCCCCTATGGTACACGCTCTGAAGTTTCACCGGTAAACGGCAGTTTTCTTCCCTGGCCATGCTGGTCTCAAAGTCAGGACTCGGAACATTGGACAGATTTTCTTAGTTCTTTTTGTTGTGTTTGGTATATATATATATAAGGAAAACAACCAAGACAAAAGTGTTAGTACTGATTTGCAAACATTTCCCCAATTTTTTAATTGGGGAAAAGTTTGCATCACCATACATATATATATATATATATATAATTAAAAAATTGGGGAAATGTTTGCAAATCAGTACTAACATTTTTGTCTCGGTTGTTTTCCTTGAACACGTGGTCAAAGTAAAAACGACTGTCCTAAACTTCTCCAAAGCCAAAGACGAGGGTCTGTGTGTGATTGTTGATTTGAGAAGGATTTTTGTTGTGAGTTGCAGCAGATTGGTATAATTATAAAACAAGAAAGAAAAAAAAAAGCAGCAGTGTGAAAAACTAATGCCAGCTGCTAATTGTTTCTTTTATTTCTATGCCCTACAACATAAATGATGATGAATCTCATTTTGTGCCAGGGAATTCCCTGAGGGGTTAGTGAGGGCCGGTGGGGTTTGTACTGCGCGAGAGCTGATTTGATATCGAATTGATCAAAGCGAAGAGGCCAGAGTGTTTTCAATTTACAACCCAACGCTGGGCGAGGGATCTAAATGAAACCCATCTCGACCCTCTGGCTCCCTTATGATTGGCTTTGTAAAAATGAAGCTTGATCCTGTAATAAACGCTCTGATCGCAGCGCCTGGCCCTCACGGTGCCCTCTTCCTCAAAGGCCAAGTGAAGATTTGATGAGTCATACTTTTCAAGGTGCTTGACGATGTCCATTTTTTTCTGTTTGTGTCTCGGTGTTTTTCAGTCTCAGAGCTCTAACGTTTTCATGTGGTATCAGTGTTGAATCAAAACCTGTCCTATACAGCCTCTGTTTTTGAATGTGGCAGAGCCGGAAGGTGCATGTTTGTGTGATATAGTCCTAACTCTTGATTGCTTCATAAGGCAGGGATAACCATTCATATATTATTTCAACAGAGCCATAGGAGGTCTGTCTAGTAAAGATGGTTATTTACAGATATCTTTTCCAATTGTATTTTTTACTCTCCCTTGATATTGATAACTTATGCTTATTTTCTATTATCGCATGTTTTGCCACATTAATACAGCACTGTTGTAGATAGAGGACATGATGGTTGATGGTGCCTGGTGTCACCAACAGCTAGAGAGCAGTCATCTTGCAACAATTGCTGTGTGTTTGTATCGCCTAAATGTCACTGTTTACATCTCTCTGGGATAAAGCCCAACTCATATTATGTGATGTCATGAGTAATCCATTGTCTTGCTATGTAACACATAAAAGAACTGAAGCCTTCTCACACTTGAGTTGGCCAGGCAGAGCCCGAAGAACCAAATGTCCTCTGCCTCTCTAACCTGTGGACTCCATATGAGTCTCGGTCGATTTTTACATGTTATATTTGTACGGATGATGCGGTGATCAGAAAGAATAGCTTCTCTGGCCTTGTGATAAAACCGTTAGCTGTCATGTTCTTATAAACTGTTCATGTGGTGCCTGAAATGCTAAATTCCAACATCTTTAACGTGTTTATTTTAATGGTGGTCGCATTCAAGTCGCGGATTTCTTCAGAGCAGGCTCTTGGATAGATCTGACTTAGTAAAAGCATCACGCTCACACTTAGAAAGAACTCCAGTGTGTTAACGATGCTGGCTTTAAGACGAACGGACTTATTTTTTAATTATTCATAAAACTTTATCAACTGTGTTGTTACAAATGGCTCAGATTATACTTTTCACAGCCTCTGTTGCTCTGGACCGCTGATCCTTTTCTTCAAAGACACAGAGGTACAATACAGCTTTCTGCGAGTGTGTTTGTAATAGTGATGCAGCAGGGGATGTCAATGCTTATCTGAGCCACAGATTGTGTGATGAGTACCCGGAACACTAACAGGCCAAGGAATATGTTTACTTCATGTTTACGTTCCAGTGATGTGAGACATGAGTTGGAAAATGCACTTCATAAGTTCAGCGTGGTGTGTATAGTCACACCAAGCATAAGCTAGGAGGTACAGAGCCTGTCACATGGAGACATCTACCAAGTGTTCCTGAAGTCCTTTGAAGTCCTACTGGGCTTATAATTGTTGAAATATTGCAGCCAGCTGTAGGTTACACTGCACATATTTGTCTTATACAATTTATATTTAATTCTAATAACTCCCCCAGACATTTTCTAATATTTTGTGAACCTTTTGCATTACATGCTTACACTCTACTTTTTTACTGTCACTCATGTGTGAATGGTCTGAAATGCAACATCTGTCGGATCATTGACAGTCCAAATAAAGAGGTTCAGTTCTTTTGCAATTTCACTTGTGGTTTGTCTTTTTTTTTTTGCCTGATTTTTACACACTACGAATTAATTTAAATTGATGACATACGAGTAGGTATTTTTTTTAACTTTACACCAAAAATTTTATTTTGGGAGATTCACTACCGGTGAACGTTTACTTCCGGGTCACACCATTTTTTTTTCTTATTTTACCCCGTAGCGGTTCATGAAGCTGATATGCGCTAGCCGCCTTGTTAATGTCATTAGTTTTATAAGGAAGATAATAAAAGCTTTTTGATGTGGAAACTTGTTCAAAGCGGCTCAAGGTATGTTTGAAATGTCCAAAGCTGCGGTGAGGGGCAAATATAAATATTAACTCAAACAAGCATTTCCGCTTTGACTAAAGAGTATCCGAAAGCTAGCTGTAATGCTAACTTAGCATTTACCAACGATAAACAGAAAGATGTTCACTTCGCAGATTAAGTAAAACTATTTACTTTATTTTAATGCATTTGAGAGTTGAGTCAACCGTTTCGCATGGCCATATTAGACATTTCAAACAATCATCTTCAGCGAACATTAGTTTTAGATTCAGGCAAAGAGTTGGAGCATTTTCTAATCCTGTCCGAGCTTCCACTATCTCAGCAGATGAATGTAATAGTCAGCCGGTGTGATATTTGGAGACAAAGCTAGATCTGAGGTGTTATTTATTACATAAATGTACAAAAAATCCTAATTTCATTATCACATTTTAAAAAAACAGCAGAGGTTTCTCCTGATATTAATGTAAGATATGTTTAGACAACAGTTTAAAATTATTACTATTTATGGAAATTGCATGTTCATACCAAACGTGTTTCATGTGTGTTTTTGCTTTAAACTGACATAATAACGCTGATGGCATCAACTAAAGATCTATTGAGTTACGATCTGTTTTGTTTGAGGAAAAAAAAAACCTAAACATTAACCGTAACACATTTTAATTTCATTTTGCAGGTTCATGCCTGCATGGCCTCGATTCTTGGATAAGTCTACCATTTAAGTCGAGCAATGTGGATGGATAATTTGCTAAAAGAAGCCCGTGATCATATGACATTTCATTGCAACTTCCTGAGCTATTTCTGTTTTTTCACATAATTCATTATGTCATTACCAAATGACTCAGGAAACCGAGGGAAAGAGCGAGAAAGGGGAGCCCGTCCAAAGGTGCGACAAAGCCGCTCAGAGGAAAGAAGAGATGCAGGCAGTGGCCGGAAAAATGGAAAGGGGAAGAAAAAAGGAGTCTCCTTACATGAAACGGTAGCTGAGCGGCCTGTCAGTGATGGGTTTGAGTATGGCGAGCTGTTAAATGAGCTGGAGGCCAGGAGCTTAAACTCATCGTCTCCTCAGGATAGTTGGAGATGGCAAGGCTCGGATGTTGTGTCATCGTCATTAGGACCAGACCCTGCTGCCAGACCAGGTTTGGGAACAGTGAGCTCCACCACAGACTTACCTTCTCTCAGTGAAGCAGAGGGTAGGGGGTCAAATGCCAGTCGCACTCTAAGGCAAAAAATACAAGATGCCGTGGGTCAGTGTTTTCCAATAAAGACACTCAGCGCAGCAGCACCAGCACCAGCTCCACCCCCACAGGCCTTTTCATCATCGGCTGCCTGCGCCTCCTCCAGGCGAAAGATCCATCTCAGTGAGCTGATGTTGGATGACTGCCCTTTCCCTGTAGGATCAGAGCTGGCTCAGAAATGGTATCTCATTAAGCAGCACACAGCCCCCATTACACAGCCTCCCCTGTTAGACTCTGCAGTCGTGTGCAGCGCTCCAACTTCAGCGATGGCCGTTGCGGTGGAAGACGTGGATGATAAGTTACGAGAGCGCAGGCGCATCAGCATCGAGCAGGGCGTTGAGCCACCCCCCAACGCAGAGATCCACACGTTTGAGGTGACGGCCCAAATTAACCCTCTCTACAAGCACGGCCCTAAGCTGGCTCATGGTATGAATGAATTAGCGGGGACTGATGGAGTCTCTGCTCAGCAGCAACAGCAGCTTCTTATCCAAAGACAACAGCAGCATCAACTTTTGCTACAGAGCTGTTTGGACACTCTGGATGAAGTTGCGGCATCGACCTCGACCCCTGAAGTAAACTCTGACCCTTTGGTTGACCCGGATCTAAAGATGACCAGTCTGACCTCAAGAGCTCTACGTCCTCAGACTGAGCATCATAAATCTCATGAAGGCTACCGCATTCACACCCAGATTGATTACATTCACTGTTTAGTTCCCGACCTGCTGCAGATCACTAACCTCCCGTGTTACTGGGGAGTGATGGACCGCTACGAGGCAGAGACGCTGCTGGAGGGGAAGCCCGAGGGCACCTTCCTGCTTCGAGACTCCGCCCAGGAGGACTATCTCTTTTCTGTTAGCTTCCGCCGCTACGGCCGCTCTCTGCACGCGCGCATCGAACAGTGGAACCACAACTTTAGCTTCGACGTTCACGACCCCAGCGTCTTCCACGCGGCTACGGTCACAGGGCTGTTGGAGCACTACAAGGACCCCAACTCCTGCATGTTCTTCGAGCCTCTTCTGTCCAACCCCATTCACCGCACGCACCCTTTCAGTTTGCAGCACATCTGCAGAGCAGTAATAAGCAGCTACACCACCTACGATGGCATTAACATTCTCCCCATTCCAAATTCTTTAAAGAAACACTTGAAAGAATATCACTATAAACAGAGAGTGCGCGTGCGGCGGATGGATTCTTGGTGGGAGTGATGAACTCTCAAAAAATGACTTAAGAACACACTCAGATGCATTTTAAGCCTCCTTAAATAGACTGTTTTCCTGTATTAACTTACACTACTGTACTTATTTATTTAACTCCTAATGTACATTGTCACCGTTGTACCAAACCACTTTGATAAGGCAATATGTAACCTCACTGATTTTGCACACTCCTGACTTCTTATAGCTGCAAATAAACAAAAATGTTTCAGATCTGTGGTGTTCAGGGGACTATATCTCGTCTGTGTTTTCAAGTGTGACTAAATGAGTTTAATTATCTGATGAGAGGGGTATGAATCCAGTTGATTATAATAGAACTGTTCCTCGGTCGCACGCTGAGATGTTGAAATGCATCCTCACACAGATTGTCAGGGAGGTGTTGAAGTGTGGCATGTTTTCAGGATTCGACTGAGGTACCGAACTCAGGACTTTTGATCATGTTTGAGAATTTTGTTTTGTATAACATCAGGTCTTTTTCAAATTCCAAATGCTTGTTGGAAATTGAAGAGCAGTCCTCTATCGTTGGGAAACGATGGTTCAATGGCAGAAAAAATGCAAATTGTACAATGTTGGTTCTAATATTGAAGATTTGATTTTCACCGAAAATTCCAAATGCTTCTCCAGACCGGAAGGGGAAAAATTCTCCTTTTCATTTTTAATCTTAACATTTTATTGCTAACTCAGAAGTCTGTAGAATTGTACTGAAATATATTAAAACAAGGGATTAGATTATTGGCACGTCATGTCCAAAAATACAAACCAGCACCTTCTTCAGTTAATATTTTCTAATGCATCTTTCAACAGAGAAACATTTGATTGTAATCATTCACACAATAATAACATATTCAATATTTTGATAATTATACTTGAAAATACATATTTTCAGAAAGGGCACTCGAGCCATTACTCTGCCTTCTTTTCAAAATTCCCACGCAGCAGTGGATGGTGGGTAATACCCTTTGCTGAAGTCCACATCATGGTTGCAAAAGGGGCGTGGTCAACTTCTGCACTGGAGAATCGGGACACCCTGGCCTACACACTTGCACCCCTGGATGGGAATACGCAATTGAGGGATGCAACGGCAGAAGTGCGAGTATTGGGATTGGGTCTAACTAGGTGGTGGGGAAAAACCATTCTTAACACCGTCCTTCGCCTGTGGTCTTTTACATAAAGCAGTGATTAACCTTGTAAAAACAAGTGAGCGTTAACACAATTTGCCTATTTAATATCGGAGCATTTTTTTGCTGGTAGTGACGTTGCAAAACCTAAAATGCTGATAATAGGGAGTTTGCAAATTTGTACTTTGACAGGAATTTTTAGTGCTGTTTATCATCACTATTGAGTGGACGACGGACCAAACTAGAAAAATATCTTGTTTTTTGGGATACCTAGCTAGGTGTGTACAGCAGCTGCAAATACAGGAAAAATACTATTTTTCTCTTGCAGTTATAGATGTTTTAATACGAAAACCGTGTTTTTCTTACATTAGTTACTTAGCTAAGTAGTTTATAGTGTGCAAAAGATTCAATTTACATATTATTTAATGAACCATAAAATGTGAGATTCCAATGAAATCAATCTTATGGATCGTTGGCTAATTTAAACCAGAAGGTTGGAACTTTTTATGGCAGGGATTATGTAACCATTTCGTATTAACTCAGAGACAAAAGAAAGAGTCAAGTTTTAAAAGTTTAAAGATTTATTACTAAACAAATTAAAACTAGACTACCTTTAAACACTAAATGTATGGTGTAACTAGGTGAAGTAGGACTGAGGATGGTGTATGTGTGAAATGTTCAGAACCAGCAAATCCGGAGAAACGATTAGTTCTGATGGGAGTGAAGGTGAAGTTTCGCGCTAAGCTTTGGTTTGGAGATTTATAACACACATTGAGACACCATTCTGCCGGCCTACGGAAGTCCCCGTTAGATCAGGAATGTCGAGGTCCAACTTGACCTTCTCTGGAACCGAAGCCAGTAGGAAAAGCAGCGACTGCCGACCAGACCATTCTTGAGATACTTCCCGGTCACGACAGTTTTATTGGCATCTAGCGAGACCATGAAGGGGTCGTGATGGTTCCGCTTTTATTCTGAAAGGAACCGTTGCAGCAGGTGGAACATGCAACAGATTTGATCCAGCGTGTCGTCAGGTTCTTTCGGCTGAAGAGGAAAGTTTACGGATTGGCCACTCCGACAACTTCTCTAGAAAGCTTTGAACTGAAGTTAAGATGATGTGGGCATAGTTTTTTTAATTTGGATGTTTTGATTTATGGTCGAATCAAAAAAGGGACAGATTTACCAAGCACCAACTAAACCACGCCTCAGATCTTCCAGATCTGATGCGAGATCTGTGGAGATGGTCGTGGATTTTAGGAAGCTTACCACAGTGCTGCCCCCCCCTCACAATATCCAACAGCCCAGTGATAATGGTGGACTCATTCAAGTTCTTGGGAACTATCATTTCCAGGGATCTGAAGTGGGAAACAAACATCAACTCCATCGTCAAAAAGGCTCAGCAGAGGATGTATTTCTTACGGCAACTAAGGAAGTACGGCCTACCACAAGAGCTGCTGATCATCTTCTACACTGCTGCAGTCGAATCCATACTTTGCTCATCCATCACTGTCTGGTTTGGGTCAGCCACAAAAATGGACAAATGCAGACTACAGCGTATTATTAAAACAGCAGGAAAAATCATTGGTGCCCAACTGCCCTCTGTCCAGGAACTGTACATCAGCAGGACCAGGAAAAAGGCAGTGAATATTGTACAAGATGCCACACATCCTGCATCTACTCTCTTCCATCTCCTCCCATCTGGCAGACGCGATAGATCGCTGTACACAAAAACTACCAGACACAAGAACAGTTTCTTTCCTTCAGCCATTTCTCTCCTGAATCTGTAGATTATTTTACCATCCTTTTACTATAGTTTTTAATACTTATTCAGTATACTTATGGATATGTGTGTGTGTGTGTGTGTGTGTGTGTGTAAATGAACATGTGTGTGGGTATACATGTTCTTATGTGTTTTTAGGTATTTTTATTCTCATTTATTGTGGTTGTTGTATGTTTTAGTGAGCAAACATCTACCAAAGCCAAATTCCTTGTAAATGTAATTTTACTTGGCCAATAAATGAAATCTGAAATCTGAAATCAAAAGGTAATGTGTCATGTGATTCTTAACGTTACGTGGATGAGAATGTCTAGTGCAGCTAGTTTAAAGTTATATTACTCATTATAATACTACTGATCATAACATTGTCATTTCACAGATTGGTTCACATTTTATTATTGGACTAACACTTTGTTTGATTAGCTTTATTAAAAACAGAGTTCTTCTGATTTATTAAAAGAAAGAGTCCTTTGTCTTCATTCTTCTCTTGAGCTGGAAATGAAGAAACGGTTTAGAAGCAAATGCATGACCTTGAGGCAGTCTCATGCAGATTAGTTCTTCCTGAGGAGAGAGAGAGGGTAAATAACCTTCGGTGGAACAGCCCCTTCATGACGTTACAAAATAATATGCAAGAAAAACCCCAGTCTTTATTTTTGGATAGCCCTGCTTACAGCTCCGGCGATCTGCTAGATTAATGTGATGCAACCGTCCTTTCGCGGGTGTCATTTGAAGAAAAATTACCAAAGAATGAAATGAAAAAACTAAAAACCTGCAAAAAATATCTCTTGGGTTTCCATGCTGGAGTGCACATTTGTGATGCACACCACTGTGCAGGTCTTCAATCACCCCTCATGTTTTGCTTTAGGCCCTTTTGAATTGCAACATTTCTGGCTACATCCATTAGCCACTAATGGTGAGAATAGACGTGAAACAGCCTTGAAAAAACCTAAGGGTACAATGCAACTCTTCATTAGCGTGTTGCTAAAGGTAATCTTTAAAGGTGTGATATTCCACGAGCGACCATACACGGCTCAGATTCTACATCAATCAGCTGCTTTGCTTTCAGCCCATGTCACAACCATCTGTGGGTCCTCCTACGGGGTTAAACTGCATGCAGCCTGCGCCAACTGTCTTCATTAATTTTAAAGTAGAGGATCAGACGTGGCCTTTATGAACTTGTCACCAGTGATGCGGTTGTATTATCAGAATGCAGAGTCTGACTGTTGAGCTGCCTAGTTTCATTAGGTTAGAGTCCCCCCCCCCCATCTAATTTTAATATGCAGACCCAAATCTTTGTGGAGGAAAAAAAAACTGATCTGGCTTTACTTCCTGCTGTTTGAAAGAGGTAGGGTGTCTCTACTCTAATCTCTTATTCCCATTTAATGACAAAAATTATCATAATGAGCTGACTCAGGTGGATCTCTGTAAATGAAAGGAAAATGAATATATCTGGAAGCTTTGGAGAATGACACCTGAGTTGTCATGGAGACAAAAACCTTTCAGCTTTGAAAATCTCTAAAGAGAAAGGGATGTTTAAAAATTGCTAATCATTGACCATGTTAAAGTGCACAAGTTAACCCTAACCCTAACACATTAGCTTAAAACATTTTTCATGCCTCTTAACAACGTTCAAACATCATGTAGCTATAAATGTTGTGGAGATAAAAAAAAAGAAAATAATTAAATTGGTTCTCTCGCATTTGTCTAAAAACATCAGCCAATGACACTTTTCAGACCAAAGTCTCGCCAAACTGCCAAAATGTCCACACTTCTCTGGGTCCTCCATTCATTACACTCTTGTGTATTCAGAAACAGAACATCACTGGTGTAAGAGGTCCTTCGCTCAATAATATCAGAGAAGGAGAAACAGCCAGCTGCTACCACTTCAACTTTAGCACAAACTACCAGAGTCCCAAAAAGAAAAACACCATTTGAAGTTAGTCAACAAAAGTCGCTTGGACCTAGAAAACAGTGACTGGTATTTAGCTCTATCTTGTTTTGTCTGGCATCGCGGGTTTCCGGTTCCAACAGAAGCATCTCAGGGAAGATACCGAAGGGGAGGGATGACTGTTTCGTGATCGTGTTTGCGTTCAAAACCTAGCTTGTTTGTAGATTTGTCACCTTTAATGCTTGACCGTCCTGATTTACGTTAAGTCCCTCTGCGTTGAAGCTGTTGCTGATCAAAGAAAGAGTCACAAAATGACAACTCGAGGAAAAACACATCCTCAGTGATCTTCTGAATCTCCGTGATGCCGTCTTCTCCCTGAGATGGCTGTTTTGATTTGATATGCGGAACGTAAATCATCTGTGACAACCACTCA